AGTTTGGAGAGTCAACGAATTAAAGTCCATCTGTGGAAATCGTTCTGCATACTTGGCTATCGGTACAGGAAAATAGGATGGATCATGTCCATAGGAATCGAAAAATTCTAAATGCTGTGGAGATGAAATGTAAAAGGCTAACCAGTGACTACCGGATTCAGATGCTTTCAGTCAAGGCTTTTAAAAATTCGTTTTTAGCAGGAATATTAATCTTTTTCTTTTTGGTGTAAAAGGATATGCATAAGTCTATAATATTGAATGTTAATTTTTTCCTTATGATGTACTCGCCTTTATCATTCACTTAAGAATATCAGGATGTCGCTTTAAATAGCTAATGCATTTTGTGCTTTTCTTCTCATTCGTAAAGGTACACTGTCTAAGATAACAGTAGAATAATCGATCTACATTAGCTTAAAGCAACTTGGATATTTCTTGATCTCGTCAGGGAGTTGATCACTTGCAAAAACTCCCAGAAATGCTTTTCGAGTCTTTGTATTCTGAGAGAGCGCTCTGTTTATTTCAACATTGTCCATTGCTTAATTGGAAAAATAGCATATATGGACGAGATTTTGTTATTTCAATCCCGTTTTGAAATTCTGCATAGACTAGCACTGATAGAGTTACAGGAAGAGCTTTAGAAAGTTTCATTCTCTACTCGCAAATTCCCTTGATGCTGTAAGTTAAAATGAGATCCGTCACACAAGTCTGGAGTTAAATCGAATGCATATAACACGTGCCCTTTCGCAAATTCTTCTCGGGATAAGTAGATGCCTATTGTCGCGATTAAATCCAGAAAATAAACTGTGGTAAGCGCGCACATAATGATTAGATTCGAAATCAAGATCCATTGGCTTACATGGAACGGGCTGTCCGTTTACACAAATCGATATAAAGTTTACATGATGATGAGCAAAAAGAAAGGGATTCATTGAATATTGTCCATTTATTGAAGCATTTTCCACACAAGTAATAATTACCCGTTTGGGCATCAGTCCTAAAAATACATTATCTTGCATAAAAGACCAGCTTCCCTTAGATACTGAATATGTTTTGCATAATACTCGATCTATCGGGTAGTTAGCAGAATTTTTCCAACGCTTTTACATGTCCGAGAGAGACTCCAGGGTTTACTTTACTTTTCTGATAAACAAAGAAGCATGATCCAAGATCACTTATAAATCGGCTCTTTTCTCAGTAGAAACTAGACACAGAAAGCAGATTTACTACGCACCATTTTAATTTTCACATCGACTAAATTTATCGATGAGTCGATTTTGTTGAAGAAAAATGTCACAATGTAATTGTCCTATCAGATCCACACTTTGACTGTTTTTAATAAGTTCACCGCGAGCTTTTAGCCCTGCATCCGCATCCTGAGCTAAGACATCTATTTTATCAGGTGAATTGTCTTGGAAAAATCCTTCACAGGTAAGTAAACTTTTCTTGGCGTCTTCCCCATAATTCAATAATGTTTCGATGAAGGGCCCTGTAGGGGTAGGTATTAGTCGCAGATGCAATGTTTCTTTCATTTAAACTTACATATATTTGTGAAAAGAGAGAATGTAAAAATAAATTCACAGGGGCAACCGGTTCTTTGTTAGACTGGTTCCGTCTGCCTTAACTACATTTACTTTCACATGTATATAGGAAGCAGCTAAATCAATATAATCTTCCCCACTGCCAGAAATATTAATTTCGATAGGTCCTCCATCCCGTATATTTGCAAGAGGATGATATTTCACAAATTGACCTTTTTCTATAGCTGTTTGAGTAGGAGGAATGGTAAACAAATCTAGTTAAGATTTGACACAGACGGGAGAGTCTTGATGAATATACGAAGTCATATTTTTTTTTTTTTTTTTTTTTTAAGAGAAAATGTCCTGTGCTTTCACCTTCTTTGATCGGTGGGAAATGGTACGCTTTTTCCTACTTTTCTGCTTTTTATTGACTCGTCCAGATCCAATCATGTTCTTCACTTTAGAAGCCGCTTTATCCGTTAATATATTTCCGGCTTCTTTCAGTCGACGCTTGGCAGCCACTTTTACATCTTGTCCTTGCGATACATCATTTAACAGGTTTAATCCACTATGCCATACTAGTTTTCCAATTGCTTTGGCTCCTGATTTAATAAGGGGTACGGCAGCACGAAAGAAGGATCTGAATAGACCGCCTAGTCCATATCCTCTCTGATAAGGATTACCTTGATAATAATTCAACCCATGTTCTGTTTAATGTACATAATAATCTTCAAAAGATTTTTGACAACATTGATAGAGTACATACATTATGACAAATATTTTTGACGGAAATGAAGTTTCACGTATGACCTTCCTCGTTCAAATGGAGTAAATGCTCCCATATGCGTTCTTATATCGATTTCCAAAGTGTCTATCATTTTCCGATTCCACAGGTAAATAATGAGGTCTATCAATAGTGCACTCACCACTTCTCCATCGCTACCAGTTACTCTTAAAATTCGAAGAAGAGGAGCTAAAACATCTCCTACGATTTGAGGTTCTACAATATCCGTATATATCATTAATACACGATAATGTGCACAGGGGTCGGCTGCAAAAGGACTTTCTACAACAGTTTCGGAACTATCATCTGCACAAATGTTAGGTTTTGAACCGTAGGTTCAAAACCTAACATTTGTGCTAACCCATCATGTAAAATCACTTAAAATCAGTAAATCAGCGTTATTTTTCACTTTGATTTTCACTCGTTTTGTTACTGTGTTATAATTAAATATTATTTGGTTTTGATGTTCTTTAATATAAATAGTTTTAAAATATCAGGTACTGTTTCATAACATCCTGGAGGTAATCACGCCTAACATTTCACCATTTTTCTCTAAAACAAATCCAATTAAGTTATTGTCTGCATTCACATTGTGCCATGTGTGCGGATATGCAATTCAACCAAACCAACTTCCCACATACCTTTTAATTCAATGGGAACAGGTAAAACGTGTTATAAAATTGAAATTTTATTTTCGGGGAAATAATTCATAGAGCTATCGCTCGGAAGTGTTACGTAAAAACTCATTTTCATGATTCGGATACAAATTTTCTCGCACTTTAATATCGAGAGTAAAGTAGAAGCTGGAATCCTTGATGGAATTTGTCGGGATAACCACGATATTTTACAAAGTATTCTGTCTGATTTTTATGTATACGTTTCTTTAAATTTTTTCAATGCGAATATTCCTCTTTCAGTCTCGCTTTCTGCAACTCTTATGCATAAAACGTTCCTTTACTGAGTATCCAAGTAAATCTTTAATTCTATACACAGCTGGATGTCTTTAACACACTCTGTCACCACAAATAGTTCTTCCGTCCAAGGGGTTTCATAGCCTTTTTCGAAAGTAAGCTTTAGTTTGGAACACGTACCACATCTCCTACAGCGAATATACATTAGTAACGTTAGAAGGATGATCTTTATACAAGGTAAACCATACATCACTCTCATTTTCTGAATTGACTTCTATGGGAACTCGCTTTATACTTGAATGAAAAGTAGCATTATAACTTTCTATTAATTTGTCCAAGACATCTACATATTTATATGTATTTCGAGTCGTAAAATATTTCCACATTTTTGTTTTCAAAGTGCGATTAAACCTTCCACCACGGATGCTTTAGTAGTATTGAATGTACTGAAAGTTAACTTGATTTCTTTTTAAAAATTTTATAAACACTTTATTCTTAAATTCCGTACCCTGATCAGTTTGAAGTAATTTTGGTTTACGTTCACTCATTATTTTTTTAAACGTTTTCACACTATCTTCTCCTCTCTTTTGTTTCAGAGGAATAGCCCATGCATATTTTGGATAATATGTCAATATAGGTTAATATATATCGATAGCCATCATTATGATCACGTAAATGTGAAATGTCCAACTAAATCAGCTTGCCATTGTTGATCTATAGAATGTACGATTACTCTATTCGTTGGAAACTTTCGGCGAATTGGCTTGTGAAGCGTGTACGCATCTATTCTCTCTAACCATGTTTGAATCTCTTTCCTGGAAACTTTACCTCCTGCAGCCACGATGTAAAGCTTCAACACCACCAAAACTTGCAACATGAGCCGGATCCTGATACGATAAATTCATTCATAACCTATTGAATAATTCTTCATATGGATAATGATAAGTTCCCACTGTCGTTAAGACGTAGCGTAAAATCAATAGGAATTTTATGAAATTCTGTAAAAATATAGATGGATGATAAAATAACACATAAAAGTGTATAAACACACCGCAACGGTGGCTTTTCCTGGAGCAGGCATAATTGCAATTGATGAGCTGATTCAAATTCCATTTTCTTATATAGGCTTTTTTACCTAAATCTGAATGTATCCCGTCAGCTTAGTGGTTAAAATCTTCAAACTACTCAGCTGGTGAGATATTTTGTTTCAGGGATCGATCCTATATTTTGAATAATAGGACATTTAAAAAAAAAGAAACTTCTAAAATAAATTACTTTCTTTTTTTCGTCCCTAGAGGACGTCATGAGCAATTCCTAAATAGATTATTTTCTTTTTTCATCCCTAGAGGGCGCCATGAGCATATATCTAAAAAAAATCCCCGTTGCCAATTTAAAAAAACTAACTTTAAATGAAAAGCAGGAGGTCTACAACTCAACCAGCAATCTACCAACACCTCAACTCCACTCGTGACCACGCCTCCTAGTGTGATGACGTTGCCTTTGGCCCCGCCCTCTGTGTGACGTCATTGACCACACCCCCTGACCCACTGACCCACCTGCCGCAGAACGCCCATTATCATGCTACTAAGGGATATAGTTCCAAAGTGCCGTAGCGAACATAAAATGGACGCTTCAAATCGACATAGCGCCGCTCTAGTGTAGAGGTTTAATAGTTCTGTTTTTATCTGAAGTTTCTCTACTGTTACGAACTCGTAAGTAACTGTTTTAAGTACTTACGCTAGATTACTAATCTACTAACCTTGTATTGACTTGCTGTTTTCTCTTCAGGAGCGTCGGAACTCAGGCCGCGCAGGTAGCATCAAATATTGCTGAATCCACGAGCACGCTCTTGTAAGTAACTTCTTCTGTACCTTTATATAAAGCATACTGAGAAAGATCTTGATACTATTTTTGGATGAATAGTTACTCCATGTTACAAAATTCAATTGGTTTTGCTGGACAAATTACGTGAACTAAAATATTAGAACTTAAGCCTTTCATTCCTATTGCTGGTGTTTCGACCTTCGTATGTGGATCTTGCTTTATGGTTAGTAAAGTTTGTCTTGCTATTTAGCTTGTAGGGTTCCTCGCCCTTTGTCCAAGATGAACTTCGAGGAACATATTCAATTATGTAGTGATTTATCACAGAGTTCAAGCAACTAAGACGTAGACTCAACAAGGATTAAAATACCCTTGCTTCACTCAAATATAAATAACATTTGGTCCGTTCTTGGGCTTGCAGCAAAGCCTCTACTCGAGCTTGAACTCGGAATAACAAGTAAGAAACTAAAGTCGACTTAGCCGAAGCTAAAGGCAAGTATCTAACGTAATTGGCCCTTAAACTAGCCGGCGAATACCAATAGGCACATATATTGCTTCCGAGCGTAACATCTTCAAGAATAATTTAGCCGAAAGGCAAACACGCGCCACTAAGGACTCTATCGAAGTTGGTTAAACCTTCCTTAAATAATATTCATTTGCATTCAACGTCAATCTAAAAACCGATTCTGGTAGGGAGCTGCAAGTGGAACAGGAATTGATAGGAAAGTGTTTCAAAATGTTACAAAATTAAAATACTCTACAAGCTTGCTACTCTTGCTCATCTGGCGACTTGTTCGTATTTGCTTTTCACTTGTTTTCTGAATACTTTCTTATGCTATTTGTGAAACGGTTTGGCAGTAGGAACTTGGCGATATGGTTGCGTTTTATGGGTTCGTGCATTTGCAGTAATTGATAAGACTTCATGAAGAACCAGAACCCAATTTATTCGTCCATAAACAATTTTACACAGGACAGTTTGAGAGGCGCCTTGACGCCCGTCTAGAACTACGACAAACACGCTGAAACACTTAGCAGGACGGTCTTCAGGCTATAACTAAGAAGGCGGCTTCATGGCAATGCACTAAAGTACAGCTCCCATCGCTCTTAAGGTAATCTCTAAATTCAAGATACTTTCTTCTTGTACAGGAAAGGATATATATAGCTTTATCTTATCTTTGAGAATATTAGAGTGCGTTAAAAGTGCGTTCTAGAATTTTTCGCTCCGTCTCGCATATCGCCATTTGCTGCCACTTTCTGGCCCGCCGTTTAGCTATCTCATCACATTTCGCAACAGTTTTAAGACTGTTTTACCACATACAAACAATATGTCGCAGACCCTGCGCGCCTCTCAAAAAAAAAAAAATTCCAGGCTTGAAAAGGTTAAGAATCTAACTATGAAACAATTAATTATTTAAACCTTTTAAAATATCAGTTTAATTTGAATACTATTGGCGTTTCTTATTTAATATCTCGAACTACAGAAATCTATTTTTGAAAAGTAAATCTTCTAAGAATTGGATAATTTTACATAATTTTGTTTCTCTGTATATAAAAAAATTTTATATACACTTTAAATTGTTTAGTTCTCTACAATGCCTTAACGTAAGTCTGCATTATGACTTTCTTCGGTTTCTGGTTAATGTTTCTCAAGTGCTCTGCCACATGCAAACAATACAATCTTGAAAATCTTGCGCTTTTGTATACACGCGTCACTAGCAAATTCGTCGTGTTGTTATTATCAACGTGTTGTAAATTATTTTGACAGTATGTAGATCTTTGATATTTTGAATTATATCAAATGTACAGCATGTCTCGAAGCTTTACAATGCTGCTGTAAAATTTCTGAAACTTTTCCATGTTCAAATGCTTCAAAAAGTAAGTTCTCGAAACATTAATTTTCTGTTTAGCAATGAATTGTTAAAGTATCAACAATGTTCACCTCCCAGTCCCTAACAGTGTAGTTTCATGCGATGGGTTCAATTCGTATCTGTTTAAATAACGAATGCAAAATTTAAGCGGAATGTTTTCTGTTTTGGTTCTTTTTAGCCTTCTTTGTAAAAGGGAAGGATTATGTAAATCAAGAGTCAAAACAATTTATGGTGGTAAAATTCCTTCGGAGAAGTTTTCCATGAAACGTTCACTTTAAAAGTGCATGTGATTTGAAAGCAAAATGTATCTGAATTTAAACAAATAACATAAAGTTGGCCACTTTCAACTTCTATCAACAAAGAAAAATTACTAATTTACTTTTCTTCCTTTGTTTCATTCGCAAGCTTCTCTTGGCGCTTATGCCTTTCTCTAATCGTCCGTTATGTTGTAGTATCTTTTCACGTTCTCCGCTTGTGAATAAGTGTCATTTTAAAGCGTTATATTTTAAACATGTATTATCACGTCAACATCGAAATATGGGGAGAATTTTCCCTACGTAATGGGACATTACATCCACTTCATCCAACGCTATAAAACTACAATTCTTTAATTCCCTACACTTTAGCAATCTTTAGAACTGTCTTACTCTTGCCACTTAATCGTTAAATATTGCAATCCCATTGATCAGTCATGTACTACAAGTTACAAAATTTTACAGCACGTGAGGATTCCTAATAAACGGTCATTATTTTCAAGTCTTGTAATATATTTAATCAAAACGGCACATCTTTAGTTCCGATAAACTGGAATAAGTAGAAATTGACTTTAATGTGTGAAAAACCAGTATTTATATCCAGTGTCAAGTTTAAAAAAGTATTTGAACTTGAGTGGATAGTGTTTTATTAATGACTCAAAATTTGAGGAAGATACTGGTAGAGTTAATAGTAGGAATTTAAGATATATTGGCAGATAGCCTTTACTACCCTGATCTACTTATATTTGCTAACTTATATGCCTCTTGCATATAAGCAATAGTTCTTTGTATAAACACGATGTCTTTAAAAGGCTTTGTTAATCTAATGAGCTTTATTTCTGTAACTCAAATAATGCAAATCTTAACTTAAAATAAATATTAGCAAGTCTGTCTATAAATATTTGCCTTTCTTGATGTTCTTTTAAAACTTCGTTTGCTTTTGTGCTTAATATGCTCTCTTTACAGAAACTTTGAAATTAAAATACTGTAAATTAAAATATTGGAGCCCAAAACGATGAACGCGATTTGATTATGTAAATTTCATTTTATGCTATGATTGTATTAAGGTTCAGATTTCATAGTACGCCCGAAGGGGTGTTTTTCCATTTACAGAATCTTGCACGTTTCGAGAGCATTTGGGCTAAAAATATTTAAGAAACTGCTTATCTTTAGAATTTTCTATAGTCGCTCGCTGGAAATAAAAATGTTTTAGTGTTCCCTCTGCTCTCTTTAAAATTGAGCTTTTTAATCGCAAATTTGTAAAGTTTAAAAATTAAGACATGGACAAGCAAATTTGAGCCAATGCCTTCTAATATATTTAAATACAGCATATATCTTAGTCTCGCGCGCTGGAGATAAAAATTTTTTTCCGTGCGGAGTTCCCATTGGTCGCTTTGAAATTGTCGAATTTCTTAAACTCTTAAAAACTTTAAAAAAATATGAAATTGCTAATAAATTCCAAATTCGGACTTTCAGATGCCCGTGTTCGAGAGGAGTACTATGCTATTCAAAATTGGAAGGATCTAGGTATCTTTGCATGTTCGCATTGTGGAGAAACTAACATTCATGCAGATTCTTAAAGTGTAATATAATGTAAGTCTTCTAATACAATATAACGTACGGAATATTTGGTGGTAACAAATTGAAGAGATTAAACTCGTGTTTCGACGTAAATAGCAGTTTCGACACTAATACTCTTATGGGCTTAAATTGTAGACTAATGAAAGTACTTGAAAAAAATTGCTTAAGACTAAAAGAGCATTCTTCGATCCAAAGACAGACCGAGTGATTGAAAACTTTTAAATCGACGGATTTTATGTGAAAGAAGTAATAGAAGTGGTTTCACTACTCTAATTATACAAAATTTTCGTTTGAATGCATAAAAATTAAGTTTCAAAGTTTAAGTGTTCTGTTCAGAATCGTTTGACAAAAAGAAATTGCTGTAGTCTAACTGCATGCAAAGACTATTTTATTCTCCAATCGCTGCACGCGAAGGACATCAAATAAATTGCGACTCATTGCATTTGCAAAGGAATAAAACCAGTGTTCTGAAGTTGGGGACTATTTTCTGGTCGTTTGTTAATCCTTGAGCGAAGATAAAGAATGATATACTGTTTAAAAACATTGAAGCGCTAGTATACAGGTTTGAAAACAGTCCTCGTGGCTTTGCCTCATTCTAATCGCACAACTTTTTAAACTTGCATTCTTTTGGAAACGTTGAAGGAATTTCACTTTATTTGTACAATGACTGTGTGAAGCAATTGCATAAACTCTTTTCTTAAACATTTTCGGATTGTTTAAACATGTTTTTACTGCTTATAGTTATAGGTCCATTTATTAGCCCGAAGGGGCCTTGGTCTCAAAGGACTATTAGTCTCCAAACTGCATTTTACGTCGTTTCACTTTCTCTGTTGGTTCGCTTTTCAATTTGTTCCTGCCAAATATTACTGCCATGTATTATATTTAAAGGAACCAAATAATGAAGAATCTGAATGTTTCTCTCATTGTGAAAGAACGATACCTAGAGCCACCCAATTTTGAATAACGTAGTCCTCAAACCGAACCTGGGTACTTGGTAGTCCGAATTTAAAATTTTTTTACCCATTTCAAATTCTGATAAACTTGAATGAATTTTTGATAAACAAACTCAACTGTTTAAAACTAGCAATGGCAGCACTGTATGGAAAAACATTTTTTATCTCCACCGCGCCGAACTGGGAATCGGAAATTCTAAAGATATGCTCTTTTAATATTGTGATATTGCTGTTGAATTCAATTTTGTGATTTGTATCCGAAGTAAATTATTTAATAAAGGTAACGCTCAAAATGTTGGCAGAAAGCACATAAAATCTAAGCGTGCAGATTATTTTCATGTAAACGTCATTGAGGAAGGGCCTTTTTCGCTAGGCTTCAAGTGATTGGAATAAGTTATTTTTGTACTTTAATTCTTTGCTTGCTAACTGCTCTAAGTTGAAGTGTTTCGTGTAAGCGACGCACGGCCGCAGTGACTCGCCACGTAAACTAGCTTTAATTTTCTCGTTGCTAAGCAACGAACGAGACATGACGTTTCTGCTGGTGTTGGACATGTACGACAGAAATAATTTCCGAACATACAACGTGAGACGGTGTAGTGGCCCAAGTATTGCATGAGAAATATTTCATATTTGTTGATGTGGTTAATTATTTTATAAAATTAACTTTAATATTTTGTTAATATTCATATTTCTTTTATGCTGAATGGCAACAAGTAGTTCATATTTATACTTAAATTTCTTTATGCTGAATGGCAACTAGTTCTGATTCATGATTGCTTGCTTTTGGTTTCAAAACGTTGCTCGTAGCGTCACATTTCGATAGCTAGAAAATAAAAAGTAATAAACTTAGCTATGTGATTATAATTCGTGCTGTTCCTAATCATAAATTAATTTTAAACTTAATAGCCAAGGCCACAACAGCAATAAACAGCCAAACTTTTCGCCGAGCGCGCATTCGCGCCCTTAATCTACGCCGATGGCTTGCGCCAGACGCACATATGCGCCCACAGGCCACGCCGATAAGTTTTCCTGTGAGTCCACTGCATATGCATGCTATGCGTCCTGTTTCGCTGCTCCTGCTGTGGACGCAGATGGATTCCTGCTGTAGACATATTACGTAACCGCGATTTTTTTTCGCTTTCTTATGATGGAAATTGATTAAGCAAACCTGAATCAACCTCCCAGATGCAATTTTTAGCAAATGCAATTAGGTGTTGCTTTAGCGGATACAAACGTTCGGTATTTCACATGTACTGCCTAATGTTAAAAGCCAATTTATTTTTGAATCATTAACTATTTTCTATTTGGCGATTGTAATAAGGATGTTCGCACACTTTTTATAAGATTCTCATTGTACTTACATAAATATCTTACCTAAAATCTTTGTTTTAAATGTTCCGTTCACTAACCCTTATTCTTCACGATCTTTCTACACCGTAATTTTGGAGACTAGTCTTGTTTTAGTAGCAGAAGAGTTATTTTATTCCATTCCTTTCGGACAACTTTTCAAAATCGTGGGAGGGTTGTAGATCGACGTCTGAACAAGCAGCTTTTTAAAAGTCCAAAAGCTCAAATCTGAATTCTTCAAGAGATTTAGCAGGAATGCGAGTCAAATGTACTACCTTGATACTTGTTTCGTTTTTTCCAAGAAATTAACAGTGGACTTAGACGTGCGCAGCTGCTTGCTTTGCCTTGACGCAGCTCTATTGATGGTTGCCACGTTGAGTGAAGAAAAGGTATTAGATATTTGAAAACTGGGCATAAAATGAATTCCTAATAATGTGTTGAGCTTCAGTCTTCCGCACTTTAATTTTAAGTTTTTAGTTGTATAAAAAAGTAACGATCGTAAATACCTTCGGAAAAATTTCCTTTAGGTTCTGTAAACCACGTTCCGAGATTTCTTCCTGTTTGGTAATAAATGCATCTTTTTATTGAGGTCATTTAAATATACGTAAGATCCATCTATTGTGACAACATTTTTCCATTTTTGTCTGAATAATTGTTTCTGAGATTCTGCAGCGCGTACTGCATTCGGCGATATATCGGTAAAGTACTGCTACACACATTACATTTTTCGCCTTTTTCAGCATCTAAATTGGCATTGATCACTTTATTCACAATTTATACTGAGCATTTTAATGATTCTTTGACTTCGAAGATTTTAACATTAAAGTTAACATTGCAACGTTCAGTTTTCCTTGAATATGTATTTAGAAGAATTTTCCTGCTCCAAGCCAAACTTTGACCGTTTCTCCTTTCTTATTTGACTATTATCTGCTTTTGCTGTAGATCCTAAAAATCATGGCTCTGCCGGGATTTTTTAATAAGTAAATAGAAATACCCTTCTTCGGAAAGAGCACGAATATACCCCTTCCGTCCATTGTTTTCTAAAGTGTAATTTTCCATGAAAACAAAATTGTCAAATAGCAAACAATAATTTACTTTCAAAAAATATAACTGCAGCTACAAATAACGTTTTCGCGAGCAGGCGCTCTTGTAGACCAAAAGCCAAACCGTCTAAAAAAATGTGCGAATACCTCCTGTATTTTAGCTTAGATTTAATCCAATATATTAAATTTTATTGAAACTTGATACATAATATTTAAGATGAGTTTTACTGAATTGCAGGTTTTCGCAGAGTTTAGAGGACATGCACTATCACGATAGAGAACTCCTGCACTATTTGGGTATTGACTTTATTTTTGACCTCATGGTAGAAATGGAAAAACTATGCATCATCAAGTAAATATTAATCTCTTTATCTTGTATTCATATTGTTATATTTTGTTCAACTTGCTTCATGCTGTTTCGATTTTACAGGGTCACTTCTTCCGAAAAAGTAAACAGGGGATTTTACCAAGACTTCAATATAACTCAAATTCCATACCCGGGTAAGTTTTGTGGTATTTAATTTTCTTTGCCGGGACTAAATATTTGTATGTAAATATTTACTTTTTAAGAATTTAGTTTAGAAGATGGTTATCTATATGTAGGTACCTGAGGGAAGTTTAAGACTGATTTCTATAAATTAAATTTGGATTACTGACATTCATCGAACAATTTTATTTTTCTTTAAGACTGTATGTTAGTATGTTTAAACAACTTTGCGTTTTTATCGGGTGAAAATGCTTGACTAATCGATCAAGTCTTTGGCCGCCGATGTGTATACTTCCAGTTTCCCTTAGAAAATCCTCCACTAAGTCATCCATCCACTCGCAGATAGCCGTGGTGTTCTTTGCCATAATAAACGAAGTCTTGGCTGTGATAGTGCTTCGTGGTTTACTACTCCTCAGCTTTATGCGCTGAGGGTGTGCTGGTGGTTCGTGTAGCTTAATTGTTAAAAGCATGACGACTTGAGTTGCTTCCATTTAGATTTTGTGGGAATTCCATGCGTCATGTGAATATGAGCTACTTTCGCTTGCAAAATGCACCATGTAAGAATCTTTCTTTTATAAGGCAGATTACTATCCCATCCATTGTTGAAAGAAAGTCACCAGTCTGGAAAATGGGTAATATTTTTTAAGGAAAGAAGGCGTTGAAAATAAGCTGTTCCGACTTATCTCGCTTGCCTGACGGTAACGTTGGAACAAGCTCACAAAATTCATCCTGGAAAGGAATGCAAGATTGCGTGTGTCGTTGGCAAGGCCCTTGAGAACCATACAGGTGACAGAACGACACTGCTCATTTCGGCCCCAATTTTGATGAACAACATCCTGGAGCCAAAGAAAGTCTATGTAAAGAAGCAAAGGCTCCATAGACGTAATGTAAACCAGTTTGTCTTCTAAGCCGCTAGAAAGAAAAGAGACAATTCGCCAAGGGATTTGGCGACGGAACCTGTTGGCGAGAATTTCCCCCTTTGTGATGTACCTGGCCGAGATTTTCCACCTTCGCCACGTGTACAGGAAATTGAGCTACACGGGTTAAGATGAATCGTTCTTTGACTTTTCGCGATAATTTGAACTCGAATTTTCGTGCTTTTTTTTGGTTTACTAGTTGAACTTGTATTATCCATATCGCAGTTTGATGTCCGATTTTATATCTGTCAATATGTAGGGGGAAAAATGGAGTCGCACAGCTTTAAACTCTTGATAAACGTGACCGTCGAACATGTTCGAACTTTTGCGCTTTTTGGCGACTGATATTTCACGCATGCGCAGTTGTGTTCCTTTTCGTTCCGAGGGAGTCACTCCTGCTGCGAAGCTTTCCTTCTTAACAATACATATTCTTTGCTGGAGGGAATGGGTCAGATGCTCCCACCCCTCTTTCCCTAACATCAACCTCTGGAAAGGACTTTCGGCTCGTCCCATCTTTAGAGTGCCCCATGCCGCACACGTTATACACTTACGAATATCCATGTCTTCTCTGGTATTCGAACCCGGGACCTCTGGTATTGCAGTTAGCGTCGGTAGCCACTGTCCCGTTAGGCGGCATTATGTAATATACACTAAATATTTTTAATACCGTGGTAAATCAATTCCTACTATATTGCGACTATGGCCATGTGATGCTTCGGTCCAAATGCGTATGTAATGTTGCAAATTTTTGCCTCTGGATTTCAATGTAGGTCTATTCTTTGCTTAGCTACATTTTCTCAAGGCAACCGACCTCTTACGATGGGCATTTTTTAAATGCTTGTTACATTTGAGTTTATTCGAGTTTTTATTGAATTGCACTTGAATATAATCACCACAAATTTGATAAAAAATCTAATTTGTGAAAGTTATACTAAAGCTAAAAATTTTGGATCACAATTAACGGACATCAACCGTCACCGACAAGAGAATGGTGATAAAAACTTTTAGATCTTGTCGCATATAATTATCAAAAGCATACAATGAAGTAGGATAATTGAAAAATATTGCTTCGCTAGTAGTATATGGTAAAATTTGATCAAAAATTGATATAATTAATTATAAGACTAATCTTTAGTTTTCCTCTATATTATGCATAATGACTCAAACTCTGTGTGCACAACTTCCAAGTGATTCTATAAAGTACTTTTGGAATTATAGTTGCTGTAATATCATAAACTGACTAATCAAAAAACGCACGTAAGCTTCAGATTAACGTTGCACATCGTACACAATTCGCGTTCTTAAACGGCAATGCATAATAAAAATAAGTTGCCAGATTCTCTATACACATTCAAATGCTTAAAATTATTTTTAAAATAACAAAGGGTGAAAACTACATCTTTCATCGGCCCTTTAATATTTGACTTCCGGTTCCTCATCTGTCAAAAACTGCTCTATCTCCGCTTATAATCAACATTTCAAAGAATTACTATTGCTGTACAGTTGTTTGTGATAGCTAAAAATGTGGCCTTTGAAAATAATTAAAAATCGGAAAAATTTCAGATTTTGTTACCCGCAAAGGAACTTTTAACGTTTTTTGTTACCTTTATTTAATAAATAGTTTTAGTAAATTGGGGCTTCCACGTGCCCATATTCGAGTACAGGACTGTTATTCAAAATTTTCTCTGGGTACTGGCTTGTTTCACAATTGGAGAAGCATGCATACTTTCGTGCAGATTCCTTAAATATAATGCAGAGCTCTATTATATGGTGCCAACAATTTGAGAAGTGTGTGTATTTAATTATGGCAAAGCACACTAAAGCTATCTGCCTAAGGGGAGGGATGCCTTCGTGGAGGACTTTCTAAGGGAAACTGGCTCGTATACACGTTACACATGAGGAAAACCACGAAACGCCCATGCAGCCAGCCCGTTCGCGGGATTCGGACCGAACTACCAGTGTTCAGCGATTTTACCGCTCGGCCGCTGGTGGGCTCTAATTTGAGAAGTGAAACCAATTTTATAGTGGGCGACGCAAAATGCTAAAAGGAAATTAAGTCTTCTGGGCAAATTGCTCATTTGGGTTAATAAATTGTGATTTTTAGATCGGTTTTCAACGAATCGGTTACCATAAACATGCTGCTATTAACTATCAGAAAAAAACTTCCTTCATCTTGATGTAAAACTTCTCCTAATATTTTAGTATCTGGGTTTGCATACTTTTAATATATTGCCTTGGTTTCTTTGACATATTATAATATGCACGTATATAAACGTTCTTCGAAATATCGAAAAATATTTTAGGCCGTATATATACGGCTGTGCCGTATAAATTAATATCTTGCTTCACAAGCAAGGCGTTCACCCTCTCTAATCGGCAAGGCTCTATATGGCTTAGAATATTTTGATATCTCTAAGAACGTATATATACGTGCATATTAAAATACGTCAAAGAAACAAGGGCAACATGTTAAGTGCACAAATCCGGGCATCAAATACCAGAATTTTTACATTAAAATCAAAATTTTTCTTATTAATTTTGGGAAATTTTCCTTCACTAGCGAAAATCCTCGCCCGTCAGAGGGACAAACTCGTTACTTAATGTTTTCGCGTTTAAAATTTTCATTTGATAAAGCAAATAAACTATATGATTTGAACAAAACCTCCCTTTAGTACTATATTAACAATTGGCTACCTAATATTCCAAAGAATTTAGTACTGCACAACGGAATTCCATAGAAACCCATTAATGGACTGAAATTCGGTAATCATTTTCAAAAAGGCCAACTTAACCTAAAATGAAGTTTGTTTATACTTACCATCTATGACCCCCGTAAAACGGCACTGTGAACCTGTGCCAAAGGTAATGGTAGCGAATTTTTTAAATAGATAGGTAATTCAGCTAGTTCTCCCAAATTCGAATACAGTGAACAGGTTTGTTTTCTCAGTGTATGTTACCCTGAAAGACCGAAATTGGAGAACGTCGACATTCACCGGAGAATATCAACATTCACCAAATACATCAGTGAAAGACCGAATATTTCACTACATTCTTGTATATTCGGACCCTCACCGCTGTATGTCGACAATCGCAGATATGCTCTGGTGAAAGTCGAAAAGAGAGGTAATAAAGTGCCGTAATAGTTAAAGTTGTTACAGTAAACAAGATTTGAATCACATAATTTTGTAAGTTTTTATTACTGTTATTTTCTCATTTAGAACGTACTGTATAATTTTTTAACTTCTATTATTTTAATTTCTCATTTTGAATGTATTGTATGCTTTAGGTTCTCGTGTTCTTAAGTTTTTATTTCAAGTCTCAAGTGCGTTTATTTGAGACTGAATTACGGAGAAGAAAATGTAATATTGTTATATGTTCAACATTCACCATTACTACATGGTGAATATCTACATTGACCGTAAGTCAGAAATAAGAGTATTTGGAAAATATTTCGGACATTTGCCTTCCTTGAAAGTATTATCCTTTAAGAACCATCGTCTGCTTTGCAGCATTAAGATAATCTTAAACTGTTAATGTTAAGGTACCACATTCTTTCAGTATTTGCTTTTGCAAAAAGAGGAAGCTGGGTAAATTTATTATCAATATATTCAAATTATTCAGGAGTCGTAGTATCGTTTATCTTAGTACGAACACTCTAAAAAGGCAATCATTAATGAGGAAAGAGGCCAACCAGCGGCCGAGGTGTAAAATCGCTGACCACTGGTAGTTCGAATCCCATGAAAGCGCTGGCTGCATGGCCGTGTTCGTGTTTTTCCCCATGTGGATTGTGCATACGACTCGGTTTCCCTTAAAACGTCCTCCACGAAGGCATCCTTCCCCTTAGGCGGATACCTTCGATGCTTCGTCGTAATCACGTAAACCAAATCATTAATGAGAAAACAATTCCTACATTTCAATTTTATGTTCCATAATTACATATGGAATTGTCACTGTGAAGGGAAAATATTAAAATTTTAGTTTAAAACCTTCTTTTAGCATTATGGGGGCAGCACTGTTGTCATTAAACTGGTATTGAAATTTTGGAAACGGGAAACTGCGCATGAGCAGCTTTCTGTTTTCTTCTTTGCAAGTCTTTCGGTAATCGATGTTCAGCGTGAATTTAATAGAAAGTACTCAACATCTCAGAGTAGGGAATTAAATAAAAATTACTCCGAGCGGTACAGTCGCTGAACACTGGTAGTTCGGTTCGAGGTTCGAATCCCGGTAGCGGGCTGGCTGCATGGGCGTTTTCGTAGTTTTCCTCTTGTGCAATGTGTATACGAGCCAGTTTCCTTCCGAAAATCCTCCACTAAGGTATCTCTTCCCTTAAGCAAATAACCCTCGAAGTTTTGCCGTAATCTCGTAAACCAAACCACTTCCAATTATCGGAAGTTAAAACAAGTTCCAGGATGCCCGTTAAAAGCAGAAGTCCAGGGCAGGGCAACCAGGTGTTTTACCACAGAATGTTGAAAGAGCAAGACTTACGCAGTCTACAGTAATCGACTGTTCGTGCTAATGGTAAACTTAAGACATGTGTCCACTGCTTGGACTGTTTTGAGGAAAAATTTGCATTTTAAGCTTTCAGAACTGCGAAACATGCCAGCACTGAAACCTAGTGACGAGTTGCAACACTACATGACGATACACTACTTTTTCATGGATGAAGCTGTTCAAAACCAAAATTTTCGGTTAACTCGTATTTAGTGATGAAACCACTTTCATTTAACTGGCAAAACAAATTGTCATTCATGTAAATTCCAATTTAGAGTTCGAAAATCCCCACGCCTACACAGGACGAACAAGTACGGGGGGCACTATCATCGCTATGAAGAATGGTATTGCCCCGATGTACCACCTTTCCGTATTTGTTAAGTAATAAACAAGGTGACATGCAATCATACACATGTCGTACATTTGGATATACAGCGCTGCATATTGTTACATTTGGTGATGGTAATGTTCATGGGTAGGTGACATACAATAAAATTCGTAATAATAGATACAATATCTAATACAATAAAGATGCAATAAACATATAAAGTTCGCAATGTCCGTCTATTCATATAGTACGAATCGGTACAGTGTGCTGCAAGCACACGATGGGGCTCGCAGTTCAACATGATACACTTGGTAATTGAACCATAATTCCAGATAGTTCATGTCGGTTCACTGCATTTCACTCGATTGGAATCTGCTCTGTTACACGGTAAGGCACTGATGACTTAAGATTGAAGGCGCGTTAGAAGTGTGTGGTGGGGATAACAATGGCACTCTGAAATTATTGCAGAATGAGAGGACTGAAGATTTACAGTGGCATATATAGTCCTTATTTGTGGAGGTAGTCGATGTTCTTTATCTTACTGAATGTTTCTCGGTGCTTGATTAGAAATCGCCTGAATTGTAGACCTGGGTTGCTTGGATGATGGATATGGTGAACAGACGTCATTGGACAGTTGAAGATGCATGCTCTGGGTCCCCACTGCTTTCTTAAATACATTTTGATGTTTTTATACCAGCCTATACAGGACACTTAAGTACTCTCCAAAAGTAAGCGATTGTTGTGTAGTATCTTCAAAGATTTACGTGTTGTTCTTTAAGGAAAACTCAATGGGCGGAGCTAGTTATGCCGGTATGGATACCTAGGCCGAAGTCCTATACCAAACTAACAAGATATTGTCGAGCGTAACTTAAAAAATAGCATTTCGTCAGGTAAATATTAGAGTTGATGAAGTAAAACAAAGTTCGTTAAGTGAGCCTAAACATAAAGAGATAGCAGTGTCCGTCGTCAGAAACCTAAAATGTTTTTCCAGCTCGCTCAACCATTATTTTCCAGCTCTTTTGAGTTCCCAAAGGGCGTGACTGAAAGAGTTCCTTAAATTCATTTCTTACGGAATATCGCAGAAATAAGTGAAGCATTGCAACGTATTTGGCAAGAAATGGCGAATTGCATTGATATTATGCGGGTGATTAAAAAAAGTCTAGTTTGCATACGTGTCAAAAAATTAACATTCTTTCTTCGCAATGACTTATTATTTAGTTTTGTTTGCAATTGAAGAAAATATTAAGTTTTGTAATTGGGCGATTCTTTCTCGATAACTATATATTTCAAAATAGTTTCATTAATTATCTTAACGTTTCAGACACGAACTTTTCTAAGCCCATATTTATTTAATTTATGTAACATAAAGCATGAGCTACTCGATTTAACCCGCTTCTGTTTTCGAAACTTGCAAGAATCGAACTCAAAGCCTTAAGTTAAGCATATTTTTGTAGATAAATAACGCCAAGAGGTAAAATAGCTTTAGTTCTATTCTCGCAGCAATTTTGCTCGAAGCTAAATGGTAAAATTAGTTTTGCTTCAGAATTTCTAGAACTTGCGTTTCAAATGAAAAATATAATTTTATCTTCCAAGGGACGCCAAATTGATGTGATGAAATTGCAGAATGAAATGTTTTCCGTTCTTAGTACACAGAAAGGGGCACAAAATCTTCAGTTGTCCCCGGGTATTGAAAACCCTAGCTACGCCTCTGATGACATACATGACATTAATCACAATGAATCAGAGTCTGTCTATCCTAAATTAGTTGCTATATTTGATTTGTTAATTTTGTACTGGTTATTGATACTGAAGATTTTATGATTTCGTTTGAACATATTTCAGAAATTTCAGGGTGCTACGTTATCAGTCAACAAGATTTAGTTACTAAGTTTTCCCTCCTTAAATCAGTACCAAATTGGTTTAAAAAATCCAGGGTTCAACACCCTTAAGTCACGTGCCATTTTGTAAGGACTCTGCCATCAGTATTCGCATAATATCTTAATCGCAGACCTTTTCAAGTCAAGTGCGGAGAAGCTATTTCTCGCAAGAAAATAATTTTTAGTGGGGTACCACAGGGACTCTTGTCTTTTCAACAATTATATTAACGACTTGCCAAGCCCTCCTGACTGTAAAATTTTGAAATATGCAGACGACACGGTCGTCCTTATGGACTCACTTAGCCCAGTTCTCACCATGGACAAATTGTTCGTAAATAAATGGTGTGAGGATTGGAAGATAAATTTAAACTCGAGCAAATGTTGTATTGTCCTCTTCAGACGTTACAGAAAAAGTGTATTCATCCATAATGAGATCAAAATTAAAAATGAAGTTGTCCCTCGTTGAAAGCTCTTACAAATTTTTGGGAGCTATTATTGATAATCGGCTCACTTTCGCTCATCGTGTAAAAGCAGTGGCAAATAAAGCAAATATGGCTTTTTGTGCGCTATACAGCCTTATAGGCAAGAACTCTAAATTATCGTAAAATCAAAAGAACTCTCTTATCTCAACCTTAGGCCCACCAGCGGCCGAGCGGTAAAATCGCTGAACACTGGTAGCTCGGTCCAAGGTTCGAATCCCGCGAACGGGCTGGCTGCATGGGCGTTTTCGTGGTTTTCCCCATGTGTAACGTGTATACGAGCCAGTTTCCTTCAGAAAGTCCTCCACGAAGGCATCCCTCCCTTTAGGCAGATAGCCCTAGTGTGCTTTGCCGTATTCTCAATACACCAACACCAGAAAATAAAATTTTGTGGTTTAATGTTGTAATACTGATTGCAGGTCATTTTTCTTCCTTTAATAAACTTTCTATAAACAACACTGTTGTAAACCTAGTTTTAAGGACCTTTTCGAATTTTATTCAGTTATAAACAACTCGAGATTTCAGTAATAATTTGATTAAATTCTCTTCCAGGTTGCGAATTCTTCGAAGAATATCATCGAAACGGCAGAAACCCTGAAGGTTTGAGATTTGATTGGGAAGCGGTGAGTCTCTGAGAATTTCGGCATGTGTCTTTGGTGGTTATCCTATGCAGTATAAATTTTCAATTCAACTTTAATTTATTTAAAATTAAAACTCTTACTGCAACAGTAAGTAAGGAAGGGTTTTAGAGAAGTCGGATTTCTCTCGTTTTCTCTTAGACTCAAAAATAGCCTATAAAAATTGAAATTCGAAGTGCTTTCAATTCAAAAATGTGTACAGAATTTTTAAGTGTTAACAATAATGAATATAACCCATTCTGTAAGGTTCGGCCAGCGTTCTCCACTGTTAAAAGTTTCAAGGACTGTGGTTAACCTACAGTAACTACCTTCTCTATTGAACGTCTTACTCACTCGTGTGAGTGGGTTTCAAGACTGGCCCTTTCTGAAGTTTCCTTGTAGCTCGCTAATGAAGAAATATAAGCCAGTACCATCTAAACAAAAATTGAGTTTTGTACCTCCGCTACATTTTACCATGACGATTTTCAATTTTCTGAATAGAAATATTAAATATGTATATAGCCATTTGCACAACTTATTGGCATATTTGTATTAAATATGCACACATAACCAATTTTTAATCTAATACTTTCATTATTTTTATTAAAATTTGAGGTACAATACTTCAATTCTAAAATTTAGTTAAATTTGGGCATGTTAAAGACTGATTTATTTCTTAATGTCTAGTCTTATTTCACTTAGTTTTAACCGTAAATTAGGATACACTTTTAATTTTGTTCTGTATTATATTTTTCAAATATAACAGGGAATAAAATCCTTGTTTACTCAAATAGGTTGTGCAAAAAGGCAAAAAATTTAAGAGTTTTATTTTAACTGCCTTTAAATTATTTTCTCTGTTAAGCCAAACGTTAACAATTATTTTTGAAATCTTCAGTTAAAGTTCGGTTACAGGAAATTACTATCAAGTGTTCTTTTTCTTCACGAGAATTCGCGAAAATATTTTTAATTTGATAGTTAAAATACTTTGTCTCTTTGCGTACCACCGGTTGAGAATCGCTGCAGTCCTTGATGCAGCAATTAGTCTTCAAGAAAATAAACATCAGCCATCGAAGACAATACGACGAAGTGCACTCTGCGGTGCTCAAAAAAAGCCTACAAGAATAGTTTGGGAATGCAGCACAATGAGTTGCACTCTGCTTGAAAGAGTTTCCATGAGTACCATAGACTGATTTGTAGGGATATGTTCTGTGGGCTGTGGTCACCATGGAGGTAGGAAGTAAGATGGAGTCGCCCTAAACAAGTTTCTCCGTACCCTGCTCTGAAGCACCGGCGATCCCTACGTGGTGACCAAAACATTGGGTCATTTACCATTGAGTTCTATGGGATTTGACGCGTTCGGATGTAAATATTTTGTAATTACGTAGCAAATATACATATAAATGTATATATTTTCTTTTTCTACAAGACTTCAGAGTCCTAAGTATGTGAAAACAACATATTTTTAAACAACATTTCATTCTGAACGGAATTAAATGCTATACTTTTCACAGGACAGTTTTCTCAGAATGGTTTAATTTGAATGAAATATTTCCACAAGTTTTCGTTAATTAGATTAGAAAAAAAATTTAAGGTAATTCGATTTTATTCGATTAAGGTACAAAAATTAAGATCAAAGTTTATTGTATTATTAATATTAAAATTACGCATTATTTCTTTTCTATTTATAGAGCTTCTTCCTAAAATACTTTCTTAACTATGACATGATTTTTTGGTTTCTTTTAAATCGAAAAATGTAAGTCAATTTATAATTAATGCTCTATTCGGTTCATTTTAAATTAGAGAATTATTAGGAATTAGCGAAATACTTTAAATAAGTATTATTATTATAAATTTATTTCGCTAATTCCTAATAATTAAATAGGTATTAAATAGTATTTGACTTTCTCTGAACATTTCTGAAAGGGAATAAAATAAAATTTTTTTAAAGTATTGTTTAACTTGTAACTGAGTTATTATAAAATGTAAAGGGAATAATTCTTTTCATTATACTTATCAGATTTTTTTAACCCTTCATTTCAGTGCGCATCTCATAGCATTTGCTTTACAATACCTTTTAACAGATTGCTTTCCAATACGAACAATTCTTGCTTAAATAGTTTTATAACGTATTTGTCAACAGGATTTCATGTTTACAATTCAATATTAAGGTTATTATATATTTAGATAACATTTATAATCATTATAAATTAGATACATTTAATCATTAGATTTCTTCACAGTACTTTCACAGTTGTTTATAAGTGAATAAATTCTTCATTTCAAATACATTTATAAATAATTTAATGAATATTTAAGTATTTTGTCAAAGGCAGATACATGCATTTTGCAAGCACATGCATAAATACCCATACAGATTTCCTATTTATCATTTCCGGCATGTGCAAATCTTTAATTTCTGTGCATTCACTATATTTTTCGTGTAAAGTAATCTACACTAATTTAGCATACACACGAAAGTTTTACATAAAAAATATATAAATAAAATTTGAATGAAAATTCTAAGTGTTATTTTTAATACCCACTCAAAGGTCAGTTTTTCTTCAAAATTCCTCCACGATGGCATCTCTCTCTTTAGGCAGATAGCCCTTGCATGCGTTACTCTATTTAATAAAAACTTAATCTGACCTATGTGCCTAATTACAAATATTTAACATACATAATTTTATATTTACATTTAGCCATCAAGTTTCAAACTTTTCAAATCTTCTAGGAAATAAATTTTGGCAGATCTCTTTTAGCAATTTTCTTAAAATCTATATTTTTGTAGTGCAACAGTTTAGAATTTTATAAAACAAATTCATAATTAAAATCGCTATTAGTTATCGAAAAATAACCAAGATGTGATTTTTGCGTAAATGTCAGTAAACTATACAAATTGCTATTATCCATCACACTATGAATGTTTCTTTCATGCGAGAGTGTCCCTTTTTCGATTTCTATGAACTGTCGTGTGTCGAAATACTATCAGAATCTTGTCAAGCGAGCTTCTGAATGTAAACAAAGAACACCCCGTCTGGTGACCCAAGCTTCAAAGCAGTGCTTCACTTCTAGCGCGGAATGGCCCCTCCTCCCTTTCCTACCTCCATGGTGGTCACCGACACCAACCACCAGAAATGGTAATTTTTTCACGCATCTTGGACAAAATATGTGTGTTTGTCTGAAATAATTTCATTGTAACACCTTATATAGTAAATAAGCGGACAATTAAGTTAGCTTTTATAGTATCGCGGTATGTAACGCCAATAAGAGTTCCCTTACAAACTCCTCTTCGAATGTAATACTACCTTTTCAGCGGGCAGTTCTGGTCTTTTGTGCCAAAATTAGTTAACCCGCCTACAGTCTTCCCAATAGCTTGGCGAATGTACAGCATGACCTTAAACTCGGACATTAATAAAGCTATGCATTTAACTTGCTTACCTACTCGGAAATCTGTTTTCTTTAAAGGAGTTTTTTAAAGATTTCATTTTGCATAATTTCCTCCTCTTTGGTCCATAGTTGACCACGGGGGCAAGACCGCTGAACAGTTGACAAGTCAACTTGGATTCAAATCCCACAAAAGGATGGGTTGCACGCTTTAGCTGACGTAAGTATGTGGGCCTACCATCAGCCGACGGGTTAAATGCTGAACACTGGTATTTCGACGACCTGGGTTCGATTCTAGGCAAATGGCCTAGCTGCACGTGAATTTTCGTGTTTTCTTCGTGTGCAACATGGATACGAACAAGTTCTCTAAGAAAGTTCTCCACTAAGACATTCCTTCTCTTACGCCCAATAGCTCTCGTGTGCTTTGCCGTTATCAAATGAACCAAACCAGTATTAGTACGAATAAACATCTCTGTGGATCTTTCCACGTTGCTTGTTAAGCAGAGCGGTTTTGTGCTTTGCCTTACGGATTAACAACCCACCCTTTGACTCGTGTGAAAACTATCAAATCTTATTTGTAAAAATTGTACTTCATTATTTTTGCAAATATTTTCAAAGATCCGGTGCTATTACGTTTTGTTAAGTGCTGCATAACATTTTGTTGTGTAACAAGCTAACTATAAGAATAGATCTTTAATTTCCTTCACACTGGCCCTGCATACATTCCAAGAAATGGTTGCTGAAGAACGTTTGAAGGGGGTAAATATTGGTTACCACTCTCTTTAACGTATTTCTAAGCGACACGTGGATAATTCTTAAAATGATTATAGGAGATTCGTTATTTGGTTTCGACGCATGATTAAAAGTTGTGAAATTAATAGGATATTTAGCCTTTACTAGCCCACACTGTTTTCCAGTGAAGCTATTACTATGTATGTTTAATGTGTGTGGGTGGTAAGAGAAGCAAGCTGTTAAGTCTGAAAATGTTAAACGTAGGTGAAATATCAAATTTTCAAAATCTTCCTGATTATAGGCATTTAAAACAAGCTTCGGTTTTCGAAACATACCTTGATTCGAATTAACGTATATTCCGGCATATAATGCGCACTTATAAGGTCGAACTTTAAGGTATATTCGGCGTATAATGCGCACTTATAAGGTCGAACTTTAATTTTAAGGTATATTCGGCGTATAACGCGCACCCTGTTGCCAAGTGGGTCATGCCAGTGTAGAAATAGTGTGCAAGTGGATAATAAAAGCAAAGAATGAAATTAATCCCAACATTAGTCATTTAAAGAATGTAGACATAACAGTGTAGATGGAACAAAAGATATTTATAGATCAGAATAAGTGACGTTAAATATCAACCCGAATCCGATATGACTAAAGGTATAACGGAAGATTAATAGACTAATTTTTCCTGTTATCCGAGAATGAAATTTTTTAAATTCATAGTATGTAATTTCTTTTAAATAAACAGGATTTAGGTACAGGTAGCAATCGAATTTTTTTGCATGCTCGTTTTTCCTTTTTTATATGCGGCTTATAGCGCGCACCCATAATGGAGTTTATTTTGTTGTGTTAGTAGTGCGCGTTCTACGCTGGAATATACGGTACGAAACATCTGCAGTTAAGTGGTCCTTTTAATTTCATTGTAAACAAACATCTGCAGTTAAATGGTCCTTTTAATTTCATTGTAAACTCACTTTTCCGTGTACGCGTACAGGGTTTCTTATCCTTACAACGTAATTAGTGCTTGGTAGACGTGTACTTATTCAGATTTACAAATATTATCAAGAACTTAGCTCCATATAGCCAACCGGATACGATTGTTGAAAGTGTTTCGAGCTGTGTTCAAATACCGTAACGTGTTGTCTACTTTGCATTTTTTAGTGTCCTGTCCAACTTAATTTTCTTAAAAAAATTCAATTCGATACAGGTTCAGTTAGGCTGGCTATATGGTGGTTTTTTGCCGGGCACAATGTGAATTAAGGGTTAGTTTGCCTAGGAAAGCCCTCCACGAAAACCGTCCATTTTTTGTCTTGCTAGCTGCTGTATAGCTGCAAAGCTTTCGTTTATTACATTTTTAAAGCGAGCATTTTCTTACTGGAAACGAAGCATTCCAATGAAAGAGATTAAATTTTTGAGATTCATAAATATGTAATTCATTTAAATTTTAAAAATTGAGAGTAAAGGGGTATTTTACTTTCAACGATTTTTATATTGAGATACGCGACTCGCTCTGCGAAAACTTCATTTTGCGAGTAATCCATGTCCAGGGCTAACTGTATGTTTACTGTTTCTGATATGCATGAAAAGAAATAATCAGAAAAAACTGGAAGAAATATTATAGTGGATAACTTTTCAGGGTTGGCTCGAATATCGGCCGTCACAAAGATCAAGTTGTAGTGAGATGGCAATCAAATTTTTCATGCGTTTTCAGTTGCATCGATGGGGCCATACACTTCGTTCTTAGCCAGTCACTTAACCAGTCGGTATAGATTTAGTCAATTAAATCAATCGATTTCGAAGGCTAACAGGTACCTTTTCATCAGAAGCAAAATTGGAAATTAGCTTTGATACTTTTTAATAGACCTGTGTCAACAGTAATTTCTTCTGCTATTACAGGCACCTCAAATAACACCGGTTTGGGGGAGACTTCGTTATTTACATCATAGGAAAAAAAATTCAACAGGGGATTGCAGGGATAGGAAGACTAGCCCTGGTCAGTGTGTTATGAGATAGCATGAACTGTGAAGTAATTCGTGATAACGAAGTAAAGATGTTGGAGTACTGTAAGCCAATCGGATGTGAGTATTATAAACGAATGTCTGAAGTGGGATTTCTGCGACAGTGCATAGTATTTAGATTTAAATTTTTCTAATTCGTGTCTAAACTTGTTGGAGAGGTTAACAGTCGTATTTTAAAGTAACAACAGTCGTATATTTAACCTACGGCAGTAAAGCGAACAAGAACGTAGCACCATCTATTCGGGAAAATGGTAACAAAATTGAAAGTTAAGTAAATGTAATTTTAAGAGAGGGAGGCCTGGATTGTAACTAAACGAGATATATTTTTGTGAATGCGTAAAGCTTCAAAAAAATTCATAAACTGGAGATGCTTTTTGAGTAATTTTTGCGGAGCCCCAAGTCAAAATTATGAGTAATAAATTTTCAACTCTGATTAGCTATCGATTTAATTTCACGTTTTAAAACGAGATTAGTGTTCTTTGATATGAGACAACGTGCTTTTGTTTTGGCTGATTTATGCCAAACATCAGCTTGTTGCTGTGCTTTGTTTCACTTTTCCGTGTTTCTCTTTTCGTTTAAATCTAAATTTCTTTAGTTTTTTGGGTAAACTTTTCATTAACGTACCGATAGATGCAGCCTTTCATTCGAAATCTTTTGAATATTTTCGCTAAACATTCAGAAGATGAAGACCTTCCTCGTTCAAGAGGAAAATGTGAAATTTAGTTTCAGATCATTTATTTAAATCTGGTTTTTTGTTTACAGCCTACCGTAACTGTAGAATGTAAAGTACCTAAAAACTTCATTATGTATTTTCCGGATACGGACTATAGCCAGTATAAGGTAAGAATTTCTAATGAAAAAGTTTCTTAAAAATAAGTTTGATTTCATTTTTCAAATTACATACTTGATCTTCTATTTTAATCCGCTGTTCATAAGTTTCTAAACTACATTTATAATCCGGGAATCGGACTTCTGGTATACGCGCCCAGCGTGCCGACCACCACTTAACGAAAGCATGCCAAGAAGGCGGTAGTAATACCTTGTATACTCCTCCTTTTAAAGGGCGACTGGGTGTGAAGAATCATCCACCACCCTTCGGATCGGGCGCCAGTGTAGACATTGGGTATCAAGATGAAACATTAGCAACGCCTTCGCCGGGAATCGAACGCGAAACTCTGGAATACGCGCCCTGCGTGCAGACCATCACACTAAGAAGGCAGGAGGAATACCTTATATATAACCTCTAATTTATCAGTTTTGCCCACCAGTAGCCGAACGGTAAAGTTTCTGTATACTGGCAGTTCGGTCTGATGTTCGAATCCCGCGAAAGGGCTGGCTGCATGGGTCTTTTCATAGTTTCCCGCATGTATATTGTGTTAAAACGTCTTCCATGAATGCATCCCTGCCGTCCGTGTAGTGCCCAAACTTAAACAAAAAATAACCTCACTTTTCACGTGTACGGATTTTTGACTTCCGATGCTTTTTGTTAGTTACATTGACAAATCGCTGATCACTGGTAGTTCAGTCCGGCGAACGGGCTGGTTTACCCCATGTTTAATGTGTATACGAGCCAGTTTCCCTTGGAAAACGCTTCACTAAAGTATCCCTACCCTTGGGCAGATAGCACTCTAGTCTTTTGTTATAAATATACCATATTCTAACAAGATTTTAATGAGCAATAGAAGAGGAATGAATTCCTTTATAGTTATGTTTGAGCAAGAGTAAAGAGAGCCGAAATTTTAATCTTTAACAAATTATGGGTTAATCTTTTCCTTTATTCATAGTAAGGTTAATTGTTTCAAAGTTATTTTAATTGGTTGACTTAACCTATTACCATAAGCATTTCAACTTTGAATTTTTCTCTTAAAGAATACGAATTTGTTGTTGCACTACTTTGTAAGCATCAAATTTAATTGTGAGTTTAATTTTAAATGTATTTATACTACTGTGTTTAAATGAAAAGTTTATTTAAATTTTGCAAATGTCTAACATTTTGTATTGAACTAAAAACTATTTCGTGATGTCTGGAACGCATCAAAATTCGGACTGCAAACAGGCGTAAGAGAATTAGCGTTTAATAATATTGAAAACTTGCATTCTACCTCCGATATTAAAATTTTAGTTAACTAGATCTAAATTGGCGAAAGTAGGTATTCAATTATTTTTCGATATTAAACTCTGAATACGACGTTGATCTAAACGCTGTTGAACGAGTATTTTAAGACTGCAACTTTTCATCACTTGACTCCTTTGAACATGCCGAACATTTTTGCAAGCAGGTTGAGTTTGAGACCATATGCGGTCAAAGTGATCCTACGTTTCCTACTTTAAGGAGGCTGTTAATTACCTTTTATTTAAGAGTTAAATAATGGAGCAATTAGTAAATACTAGAATAATTAGTTTCAAACACTTGTTGTTAGTAGCAAAAATTCTTAATTTTTCTCACCTGACCTCCAATATAGAAGAGTATATATTATAAACATCTACAAATTAAAATACTATTCCAGATTTCTGAAAGCATTTAACAGAATTCTGTTCGGCTATATTTGCAAATTTACATCGAGAATAAGCCCAGCGTATTTTTTCTAGACTTCAGAAAATTTTTGTAATTTAAATACCGCAAAAGTAAGCATAGGACTAGATCCGATCTAGAACTCTATTTTTAACGCAATCCTAAACATATTTTAAAAATGGCATTTAAAAGAAAATGCTCACGAAAATTTCCATTTCTGAAACTCGAATAACTAAATCTGTAGCTATGGTTACCACTAGTTGTTGCCAGATTTATTCTCGCAAAATATCACACAGCACTTCTATTAAGCGAAAAATAGATGCTTCAAAAATGACCATCGTCATTGCTATTTCAACTAAAATTTCACCTTCTGTATAAACTAAATCCCTTCCTGAGTTCTTTGGATGAGCCATGTTATTCTAACTAGAAAAATCAAAGCGTTAAAACATGTTTAAATACTTGATGAAAGCCTGGCTAAGCCGGTGTTCTTTAACCATGCTTGGTCACAAAATCATGATTCCCATATTATCCAGACTGTTCTACGCACTGTATATAAAACCTTGAATTATGTTTAAGTTCCTTTGCGCTAAAAGTTTTTAGATATCTAATTCGGAAATTTTTCCCAATTTATAATTTTTTTAATATCCTTTAACTTGCAAAATCTAACTCTGTACCTCCAGAACTTCTGTCGAGTACATTTATAGCTTGCTTCATTTAAAATTCCAGTATTTCCTATCATATAAAAACTCAAGTGCTCTTTATTATGCTTCAAAATGTTACTTTGGTACTCGGTCAGGTCACGGAAAAATAGCGTCTCTGAACATTTTAACTTAAATACTTAATATTTTTTTCTAGGACTGGGATCTCGTTAAGTTAACCGAAGAATACCTCTTGATTCAGCTGGTAGTCATTACATCAGGTAAGTAAGTCATTCCTTAACATTTCTATATGTCGGTACGATTAAATTTCCCTTCAGCCTTCCACGAAGGCATTCCTCCACTTCGGCAAATAGCCCTATCGTGTTTTTTTTCCTCACTCGAATAAACCAAACCATTGTGTATTGAAATGACATAACCGGAACGGAAAATTAGTATTGCAAATTTTGTATATAGATGACTTTGGTGCAATTATATACGTGAAACTGTTGTATTTTTTGAGTACTGTTAACATAATCTAGAGGCAAGTTATCCCGGAAAAGTACGAATACAAGGCAAGTCCCATTTAACATTTAATAAAATGGGTATCTCGGTAATTTAGCCGTATATCGCCAAGCTGGCAATAGTTCTGGGCACTAATTTTCTTGCATTTGGCGACAAACGGCCAAAAGTTGCCAAATTTGGCCGCCATTTGGAGACATTTTGGACTTAATTTGTCAATTTTCTAAACGTTCACTTTAACCTCTAGCTCTATTCATACATAAATACATTTTTACTTTTATCAGGCGAATCTCAAACCAGACGCATAATGTAAAATATTAGCTGAGCTAAAATGCGAGTTTTCAATCATTTCAGATTAGATTAATGGTTAATGTATCATGTTCATGTCTAAAGTAATTTCTTAGTTTATTCCTTTAATCTTTCGGCAGTTGCCAGATCAATTCTTTCTTCCCAAATAAGAGTGATGTCTATCAGTTGTAAATTTAATGAATGTGCAAGATGTTGAATACATAAAATCGCGAAATTCTGATATATTGGTACTAAAATGCCACTTCACACTTAATTGGTAGAAACAATGGCCGTAGACCTTTACTTCCGTATGTTAGTTCCCCTTAAGTAAACCATTATTGGTACGTGAAAAATCCGCTAGATGGAGGCACATAAGCACGAGAAGTGCTGATTCCTTCTTAGAACAGTGATTATTAATAATCTTGACCAAATGAATCTTGGTAAGCAATTACATGGCATGTAAAAGCAAAGTGCACTGGAAACTTAAGTAAAATGAAAGATAACATGAAAAATAGAGCAAAATCAACTACGTACTTGTGAGTTCGTCTCGCGAACTGTAACATAACCTGATGTAAATCCTACCTTCGCTGATGACTAACTGGACAAGGACTCCAAAGATACGCGGGAATATTCTGTAAGAAATAAACACCATACTTCAGCTTAAAGTCTGCAACATCCGCGGGTCGCGCAACCGGTATAGTGATTGCCGTGCCGAAAGGTCCGGTTTCGAATCCCGAAGAAGGCATGGATGTTTATAAATGTATAGTGTTCTTGCGGCATGGGGACGCTCTAAATATGTGGCGGGACGAAAGTCCTCTTGAGTGGCTGATTATAGAGGGAGAGGGGTGGGAGACCATCGACCCATGCCCCGTGATGCTCTCCATCAATTGTGGGGTGGGGCGGAACTGAGCTAAATCGCACTGTCGCCTGCAAGGTGCTCAAAGCTGTTGCCGACGACAGGAGTATCTTCCCAACAGGAATTTAGTGGACTGGCTCAAACAAGTGAGCATTAGTCGACAAGATCCGCGTTGCACAGTGTGTTAGGATATCTGATTTATTCTGTGAAGTTTAATTCTGGTGACTACAAGTGTTCGTAGCAAACCAGCTCAACTTATCTATTCATAATTTGGTCTCTTCATTTCTACGCCTGCCTATTATCTTACTAAAGGTCATATCCATGGTAAGTTCGAATGTTGTGAAATGGTTTGCACATGTTTCAACCATCAGAAATCTTTGTAGAACCACGGGAGAATAACCCACTGGATGTCAACTGAAATTCTGATGTTCCTGAGATGCTGCAGCAGTATAAATGTTGCTATATGGGAGATCTTTAATGAAATTTCTTTCACACATCCTTTAATCTGCTCGAAACTGATTAAAAGCATTTGGTTGATGTGGACTACAGATTTCGTGTCTCCAAGCGTCCATTGTTGGAATTTGCTAAACCTAGGCAAACTGCGTAGCTGTAAACTATATCCTCACTTTATCAGGAATAAGAGAACTGAATTCTAGGCTCCTCTGTGGAAGCAACGTTAGAAAGATCTCGCGTGAACTCCTTTTCAAGTCATAGCCGAGAATTCTAAAATTATTCAAAACTTGAAAAAGGTAGCATGCTTATGTTCATCCATTTTTTAACAATCACATTGCGAAAGTTCAGAGGGCAAATTCATAGCCAAAGCGTTTTCTTGAAAAATTAATGCAAACTAATATTGTACCGTTAGATCTCCGAAATGATGTGACCAATCTTAAATTTAGAGATTAAATCATCAGAAACAGCCGTTACGAACTTTAAAAAAATGTCAAACTTTATGCTTACTAATACATAAACAGCCACTGCTATTTGCATAAGCTGATCTATGTACTTTGGCTAACTCTCACGAAATAAGTGATCTTCAAAATCCGTTAAAATTCAAATACCTAATTATCTCTAACGAAAACTTATTCTAGAAGAAAATGCATTCTATTCATTCGTTAGGTAACCATAGCGCCCTAGTTCATTGCATCTCAGGTTGGGATCGTACACCCATGTTCGCATCTCTTCTCCGGTTGTCTCTTTGGGCCGACCACTGGATCCATGACGAACTAACTCCCTTACAGATGGCGTACCTAACCCTTGGGTACGACTGGTACCTTTTCGGGTAAGTCAAATTCCTCAAATGGTATAACTTTTAGCGAATTTGTCTTAAAAAAAAGCTGTCTTGGTTTAATTCTAAATATTAATTTTAAACGTTCCATTTCAGGCATAATTTGCCAGAACGCCTTTATAAGAATGAAGAGGTAAGTCAAAATTATTTATTTAGACTCTTTCAGTCTCTTTTTACTTCCTTGTAACGGAAGTATTGTAATCGCGGAATTTTTTGGGAGCCGTATTTCAACGGAAACATCTATTTTGACCGCTATCGGATTAAATTTAACTGTTTTTGCGTGATATCTATGCCTAAGGATAGAATAAAAGATTTCCAGAATAAAGGACTTCAAACGAATTATAAAACTGATTTAAAATCCATTCGGAAGAGATTTTTTTTCGTTGCGTCTGTACTTATGTACCTCGCATAATTCAAACGATTAGATTCAGAACTTTGAAGTTTTGTATATAGGACTGCTATAACATGTAGTTGTGCACCTCTCTTTTTGGTTGCAGAAAGCCTCACCAAACATATTAATATACACTGACTACCAATAAGTATTTGGACACCTGTGATAGAAAAGAAAAACTAACTTTATTCAAAATCAATAGTTGGTAGAGCCTCCACGAGAGGTAATTACAGCGTGGAACCTCCGGGGCATACTTTTCACAAGTCTTTGTATGACAGCTAGTGGTATTTTCTTCCACTCGGCTTGGAGAAGACGTAGAAGTTCCTTCACCGATTTTTCACGGGTAGTGCACCCCTGAATTCGGCGATGCAACTCGTCCCAGAGGTTATCGATAGGGTTTAGGTCTGGACTCTGGGCAAGCCAGTCCATTCGATGAACTCCATTGGCACCATACCAAGCCTCGGTTAACGTCGAAACATGACAATTGGCATTGTCGTCCTGAAAGTAACAGGGGTCCAACCCGTAAAACTCCCACTACGTAGGAAGCACATTGTCATCCAAAATAGTGCAGTAGGGATCGGAGTTGAGCGTACCATGAATGGGAACAAAGGATTCCAGCCCATACTAGGAGAAACACCCCCAGACAATAATTCCACCTCCGCCGAACTTGACTGTTGGCACAATGCATTCTGGCAGGAGACGTTCTCCAGGTAGACGCCAGACCCTGCCATCCGAATGGTAAAGGGTGAACCTTGATTCGTCACTCCAAAGAACCCGTTTCTACTGATCTACGGTCAAATTTCGATGTGCTTTGCACCATATTAACCGAGCAGGCGGTTAGACTTTGTGATCAAAGGCTTATGGGCAGCAGCACGACCATGAAAACCAAGCAGATATGCTTCCTTACAGATGGTATTCATTGAAACAATACTCCCGGATGCTTGTTGAAACTCCTCGCGGATGAAGGCCATCGGTTGGGTGCGGTTCTTCCGAATTTCTCTGTACAGCACTCGTCGATCTGTATCTCCCAGTTTCGCTGGTCTGCCGACTCTGGGCACATTCCGACAATCACCGCTCATCTTCCACTTTTTAATCACATAGGCCACTGTCGATTTTGGGTACTTCAAATCGCTAGATATGTCCCTTAAGGATCTGCCACATTTGTGATGCCCGATAATTATACCTTTCTCGAAATCAGAGCTCCGAACTGAGAGGCATCTTGCATGCGACTAAATCCGATGCTGTTTCCTACACGATATATACCGACGGAGTCCGTGACGTACCTTAGGACCGCAGATATCGTCACTTGCATAGGTGTCCAAATACTTATTGGTAGTCAGTGTATACCCTCTGTTACTCGGCTCGGTGAGCTCAGCTTTTTAATCTTGCATGCTGGAAAACTGCGTATAGTTTGCTTTAAAAATAGTTGATTTATTATTGATCTTATCTTCCGGTTTAGGTTTCTTATGCCTTTAGTTAATGTGTATGCAATAGCTGTAGTATTAACAATTTAATTTGTTTTAAGATCAGCTACTCCTAATTCTTTTACTCTATCATATTTGCTTACATTTGAAACTTAACCTACTGGTGAATTAAGTGTTTTTGCACCTCCAGTGTCTTTTTGCTGAATGGGACCAAAACTTTCAGTTTTCCCTCGCAAAAATCTGCCTTGGCCGCTGGCCTAAATTGCTTGTTTTAGCCTAGAAACTCTAATTTGAAGTGTGAAAATTGTTTTTAATTGCTTTAACTGTATTTGGCGTTTTATATCTTTACATTCAAATTTTAATTGTATAAATTTCAAATTCAAAGATAGTTTAAGCTTTCATGTAATTTTGCCTTCCTGCGAAAGGAACTACATTAATTGAATGAAATATATCGAACGAAATTTTAGGAATTAAGTTTAAATGAAATGAAAAAAAATGCGTAGAATTTAATATTCCGTACAAGGAAGTCATGTGGTGTACACATCAGATATTTCTATTTTATTTTCTGAGTGACCCACTCCTGCTCGTTCTGAAGTACATTGGAAAACTTAAAATTTCCTCAGACTGAATCGAAATTAAAGTAATAAACAGATCGTTATTTCACACAACGTTTATTGACAACCAACCAAAGACTCGCTGTATATACATAATTATGACATCAGTTTCTTTTTACAAACACTGCCGATCTATTGGCAATCGGAAGATGTATAGTCGTAAACGTATATTTAGTGGTCCAGTGCTTAATGCATGATATAATTAAAGAAAATAAGAGTAGACAATCTCCTATAACAAAAGAATATATTAAGTACTAAATTACAATTTAAATTACATTGCAGAGATCAACACAGAGCTCGGAACACAGTTCATGCTACCGTCGCGTACAGTTGTTTTTCGAGAAGTCGGAGTGAGTAATGACGTCGCTTTGCTGCTCCGATTAAGAACTGAATTTTACACGTGGCGCCATCTCATGAATAGAAGTTGAAGTATCTGTCGGAACGCCACATATATTTAACACTATGAAAATATTTGGCCTCTTGTTCTTTAAGAAAAATGCTCAATTTTGTTCCATGTTTGTCTCAAAGTGACTGCAGTGTTTAATTATATCTGTGCGAGATTCATTTCTCCAGTATGCAATTAAATATAAGCACAGAAACAGACATCTCTGATGAATACTTGGACAATTGTATTCAAATTCCAGCCAGCACCTACTCTCCGAACATTAAAAACTTTTTGGTGACTAAAAGGGAGCTATCTTCCTTATTAATGTTAATGAGTCTGATAAAGTCTGATATTACATTTATTACAAACTATACTTAAAGTTCTTTCTTGCTTACAATTCTATTTCAATTTCTTTTTGTCATACAGTTTAATTAAAATTTATTTCAAATTTACTTAAACGTAAGCTTATAAGCAATTGGGTGGTTTTCCCCATGTGTAACGTGTATACGAGCCAGTTTCCCTTAGAAAGTCCTCCACGAAAGGCATCCCTCCCCATAGGCAGATAGCCCTAGTGTGCTTTGCCATAATTAAATACACCACACCTATAAGCAATTGGATTTTTATAAATTTTTTAGTTATTTTGGGTAGCACACACTAAAAATTAAAAACAATATGGTAGCTCCGAAGCTTCATGAGTTTGGCGGCTGGTGCCTTAGGGAACAATCTCCACGAAAGCATGTGTCCCTCTAAGCAAATCCCACATGTGTGCTTTGCTGTATTGAAAATGAACTAACCCGACTTTTGTGCAGTGAGAACTTTCCCATTTTAACACTTTCGTGTAATCTTTGAAAATAACTCTTTTTTTGGGAGAATACGCTTTTGAGATATTGCTAGAAACAATTTTTAAAAGGGTATCTAGAAATTTTTTGGAAATGGTAAATGAAACATTCTATAAATGATTAAAAATCTAGATTATATGTGTCGCTGCGGAAGACGTTAACCTTGTGCGAATTTTCTGCAGTACGATATCAGTAATGTTCTACGGAAATGCAACAAATCCTGTTCAGTAATTCTGCATAATAAATTAAAATTCTCGTTATGGTCAATTGTAAATTAAAATTCTTTGTAGGGTGAAGAATAAAATAACGGCTTCCATATGCATGACAAACATTTATTTATACTATGAAGACGTTGAACAGCAGAGTAGAAACATTGTATTACACAGCGCTTTGCACTTCTCGCTTACATGCAATACTCACCATTGACTTTGGCTAACTTCGTATTAACTAGGTATAAGTATTACGCAGCAGAGAACTTGCTTATCATGCGCATGCGCTAGGGAAATCAACGACGGTTGCCAACATACCCCCTTTCGACGTTGATTCTCTTATTCCTGAAAAGTAAAACAAAATACATATTAAACAGTATTCAGTCCTACAATTGTACAACAGTTTTGATGTTTAACAGGAGTCAGGGGTTTGGTTAACACATCAGCTCCCATTTCACTGGTAGGTATGTTTACTGCACATCTAATTCACCGCGTTCATATACTTCACGCACAAAAATGATGGCGAATGTCTATGTGCTTTGTACGGGAGTGAAACACAGAGTTCTTCGTAATTTTCTGAGCTCCTTGATTGTCGCAGTATATTGTTGTTGAGTGTTCTATGGTGTAACCCAGCTCCTTCAAAAAACGACGTAGGTAGACGGTTTCTTTGGCGGCCTCAGACAAAGCCATAATTTCCGCCTCCGTTGAAGATAGAGCTACACTGCGTTGTTTTCGTGATTCCCTGGTTATGGCTGAACCACTTAATATATATACAAAACCGGTGTAGGATTTTCTATCATCGACATTTGATGCCCAATCTGCATCCACAAAGGCGATGAGTGGTTTTCCTGTTTTCGTATAAATTAGTCCTTGATGTGTTCCCTTTAGATATCGAAGTATTCTTTTCGCAGCATGCCAATGTTCTTTTCCGGATTGTGTTTGTTAAATTGACTTAAGAAATTCACGGCGTATGTGATATCTGGCCTAGTAGCTACTGAAGGGTACATTAGCGATCAGATTAGATTTCTAAATGGAACATTTTTCATTTAAGAGATTTCATTTTCGCTTTTAGGACTCATCTCTTTTGATAATTTTTTGCTGTTATCTGTACGTGAAGACACGGATTTAGCATTTTGCATTATATACCGATTTAAAATATCATCAAATTTCTTTTGAGAAATTTTAATTGAATTCTCATTTTGGTAAAATTCTATTCCTAAGCAATAATGTAATTTTCCCCAAGTTTTTTCATTTTGAAAGCAGAAGCTAAACTATCGCGAATTGTTTCATACGTTTGCTTAGAATCGGTAAAAACGATAAGATCGTCTACATAAACGATTATAATATTTTCACTGTTAGGTCTTTTTAATATAAACACACAATTATCTGAATTAAGAGATTTAATTTTCATAGATTTCAATTTTTCATCCAACTTTTTGTACCACTGACGTCCCTGTTTAAGACCGTATAATGATCTCTTTAAAAGACACACTTTATCTGAATTAGTTTCATCGCGAAAACCTTCGGGAATTTCCATGTAGATTTCTTCATCTAAATTTCCATTTACATTAGGCCATTACAAAATCTAATTGGGGTAACCTTTGAGATTGTGTTCTACTGCGTAGGCTTAAAACTGTTCTTATGGAACTTAATCTAGCAACAGGGGAGAAGTTTTCAGTGAAATCGAGACCAGGGATTTGAGCGCACCCTTTAGCAACTAGCCTAGCTTTGTATTTTTCGATAGTGCCGTCGTGATTATATTTTAATTTTAAGAACCTATTTACTACCAATCACTTTCTTGTTTTCAGGTCTTTTTACGAATTCCCAAGCCTTTTCCTGAACAAGCGAGTTATATTCTAGCGGCATGGCATTATGCCAATATTCAGCATATGCATGCTCCATTTAATGCTTCTTGCACCGTAGGATTAATGCTTTCCTCAACAACATTTTGAGTTTGTTCATTTTTATTTAAAACTGTATAGTGATATTCCATTTAGGCCTTCCTGGTAAACCTGTTTTTATTTTCTTGGGTAGACCAGGCCCCCTTTTAATCAGGATAGGAAGCATTGATTCCCTATCTAAATCATTTCCGTTTTCCTTTTCAGAGTCATGTGGGGACTCGTTGTCGTCCAGAGATGATTTTTCACAACATGTTTTATTTATAATTTTTTATCCGGAGCGAAAAGCAGATTTATTTCTTGCTCTGAGTCATAACTACAGCAGTTTTCAAACTCATTAATAAATTTTACGTCTCTGCTTATTATCACTTTACGTGCCTCAGGATCCCAAAGTCTATACGCTTTTGATTCATCAGAATAGCCAATAAAAATACATTCTTTAGATCGAATATCAAATTTGCCTATTCCTGGCCTTTTATTTAGCGAAAATGCTTTTTGGCCAAAGGTTCTGAAGTGAGAGACAGCAGGTACTCTGCCAAACATCACTTCGTAAGGTGTTTTATTTCGTTTTTAAACCTCGCGTTGGGCAGCGATTTCGAATGTAAGCAGCTGTATTGACGGCTTCGGCCCAGAATTTCTAAGGCAGAATTGGATTGCATAACAAACATCGCGCCATTGAAACTAAGTGCGATTTAACCTTTCGGCGACGCCATTCTGGGCTGGCGTGTAAGAGTGCTCATTTCGTGTTTATTCCCGCATATTAAGAAATTTATTAAATTTTCCCTAAATATTCTAGCCCGTTATCGGTTCGCAGGATTCTGATTTTTAGAGTTAAGTTTATTTTCAAAAAGATGCTTTAAAATTTCTGAAAGCTTCTTTAACCTCATCCTTAGATTTCAGAAAATTAAACACGAACATATCGAGATTTTCATCGATAAATGTTGCGAAATAAAATGATCCACCTATTGATTCAGTTCTCATGGGACCACACAAATCAGAATGAATTAGATTCAACAATTCAGTACTTCTATATTTGGATTCTTTGGGAAGGGGGTTGAGGTTTGTTTACCCTGAATGTATACCTTACAAGTAGTCATTTTGAGAAAAAGACCTCTAACCATGTTATTTGAAGTTTTTGAGATAATTTTCATTTAAATGGCCAAATCTTATATGCCACTGATCTATTTCTTTGGCAACTGATACAGATTCAAATATTGGCATGACAAAATAAAGTTAATTTTCGAGTTTAGTTAAAATTACGGTTTCGTTATTAGAGTTAATTATTTGAGCACATTTTTCTTTGAAAATTACTGAAAGATTTTTTCAGTTACTTTAGACACTGAGATTAAATTATTTTTCAAATCGGGTACACACAATACATTTTTTAGTTTGATATTTTCAGTTTTAGAACCTATGCGAACTTTAAATTTCACACTTCCTTTTCCAATAGCTTTAACTATTTTATCAGCAGCTAATTAACATAAGTATCACCTACTCGTGAATTTCTTGAAACAGTTCCTTGCTGTTACACATATGCGATGTTGCACCGCTATCCAGACAAAAAATGTCCTTAGAATTACTAATTAGTGCATGATACGGCTTTTTCTTGCTCCAAGGAATTATGATTTTCTGCAGACATCGCAGTTTCACTGAGGCGTTTGCTTTTAGTTTTTTTTTACTTTTCTTCCTACATTCCGATGCTCTATGCCCATAGATATGCTAGAAGTTACATCTGTAGTTAACTGGATACTGTCTTCGGTTCGGCAGACTTATATCTGGTTTCTGGTTTAGGAACCGGTTGTTGAGTATACTTCCGATCTTTCGAATAGAACGCATTTGTGGTTCAGAAAACGGTGAATCTTATTTTTGCGAGCGTTAGCTTCTTCCAACAGTTTAATTTTCAGCATTTCTGCCGAGGCAGTTCCTCACGAGATTCGATGCTATTCGAAAGCTTTCATAAGAGTCCTGTATGCTTATATAAAAGCAATATTGTAAGCAAATCATCCGCAATGTTTATTTCCATTTCTTTCAGTTTGTCCACAAGAATGAAAAATCATTTAGATGATCATTCTTGTTTAGAACACTCCTTTTTGTAAAAAAGCAAGTTTTTTAGAATTGTCCTCTAGCTGGTCCCTTCGATCGTAATAGAATGCAATTTACGCCACAGTTCGTGATGTTGCACAATTCCATGTGGAAGTCACTGGGTAAGATAATATATTATCTCCGTGTTTTGGTCAGTGCTTTCCATTTAGCAAATTCTTCATCACCAGTTTTGTTTCGGAATTTTTCCAGTTACATAGTCCAATGATCATTTTTAATCAGTATGGCTTCCACGTGTCAAAGTTGTCCTTGCTTAGCTTTTCAATTGACACTGTATTAGTCGTCGCCATTTTCACTTCAGTCGACGCAGCTTGGCTTCCCGAAAGAATTTAATAGTAGTTTGACTGCACGGTTAAGCGCTGACTGAGCCCATAACCTATGAAGAATAAAATAAAATCTTCCATATATATGACAAACATTTATACTATGAAGACGTTGAACAGCAGAGTAGAAACATATTACACAGCGCTTTGCACTTCTCGCTTACATGCAATACTCACCATTGACTTTGGCTAACTTCGCATTAACTTAGTATAAGTATTATGCAGCAGAGAACTTGCTTATCATGCGCATGCGCTAGGGGAATCGACGGTGGTTGCCAACATAGGGTATCCTTCCAAAGCCCACTGATGGCAGACGGTAAAGTTTCTAAACACTGGTTGTATGGCTTGGGTGCGAATCCCGGTATCAGCCAGGCTATGTGTGCTTTGCGAAACTTTCCTCTGATTTAACGTGTTGAATTCTTTAAAGTTCCCTTAAAAGTGCTTCCTTCCGCTATAGAAACGTAGCCCTTGCGTGCTTTGTAGTAATCAAGTGCATCAAATAAAGCTGTATCAATCCGTAGTCTTCATTTGCTAAAGTAAGGTTTTATTTGAAATAATTTTAATTAATTGATTTTATTTTCAGGTCATGCATTTCTGTTTCAAGTTCCTTGGTTATATTGCTTCAGATAACTTTTCGATGACAAAGTAAGACTTTAAATATTAACATGTTTCAATCGGTATATAATTAATGTTAGTTTAATTATCGTACCTGATAAATTCGTAATGTTTTCTTTAGACACTTCTGTTTGTTAGTTATTAAGCCACCGCTATAAAAATAACGGAGGATTTTGGCTTTATTCAGTCATTACTTTTGTTGAAAATAAGACAAACACTGTTCTTAATTTACAGTAAACAGTTTCGCAAAATTTCCGCTTTTACTTCCTTGTGCAAACCGAAGGAAACCGCCCAGACGGTATAGAGGTTGGGGGAGCCTGACTGGGATACCGGAGGGCATGGGTTCGAATCCCGGAGAAGGCATGGATGCAAGTCTATCCCTTCGTAGGAGGTATCGGTAATCGCCTATTGGCTCCCTCCAGAACAAAATGGCCACCACTACTGTCCTTCGGAGTGTCCAGTGCCATTGTAGGCAATTGCTCACCATTGGGGGGGGGAGTAAAGGAACTATTGTAATCGCGAAAATTTTCGGGTATCTTATTTAAACGAAAATCCTTTTTGACGATGTTCTTTGCGTGACATGTATAGGTACGAACAGAATAAAGGTCTCTTTTTCTAAAATGGATTCAAAAGGGAATTTTTCGTGATCTCTGTAGGTATGCACCTATGTATCGCGCACAATTCAAGCAATTAAACGACAAAATTTGAAATTTTGTATATGGGTCTGTTGTAACATAGTTGTGCATCTTTTTAAAGCAATCGCCAAACATAAATATACTCGTCCCCTCAGACGGGCTTTATTTTCGCAGTCGTATATTTCTAACTGCAGGAGTTTTAAATGATGAAAATATTTGCTTCGGTAGTATAAATTTTAAAGAATAATTTCGTCAAATAATAATAATAATGAAACCTTAAATGTAGTCTCTTGGTACCTATACAAATATTTGTAAAAATTTTAATATTTGTTAAGAAAAAAATATGTGAAGTTTGAACTCGTACGAATTTCTCGCACGACCAAAATTTGCCGGGATAATTACAAAATTTGTAATTTTTGATGTCATTTTCAACTTGCCTTGAGGAATCGGTGAATTAACTTGGAATAATTCGTGGAAAAGAGTCTAAATGAAGTGTAGCAAAAAATGTGTATAATATGGCGTACAAGGGAATCGGAATTGGAATAATTCGAGGAAATGAGTCTAAATGAAGTGTAACAAAAAATGTGTATAATAGGGCGTACAAGGGAATCTGAGTTAAATTAGAATAGTTCGAAGAAATAAGTCTAAATGAAGTGCAGCAAAAAATGTGTATAATGGGGCTTACAAGGAAGTCGTGGTGTCCGCATCCGATCTTTAAATTCTAACTCCAAAATTAACATCTATTCAGGATATTGTGGAGAGTATTCAGAGTTGAAACAAGTTCTGGATGTTTTAAATCGTACAACTTTTGCTTGAAGGCATAAAATTCATTATACGAAAGCTTTTCACAACATTTTCGTTACGGAAAAACACGCGCCAAACAATTTTCTCTTTGATGTTTATGTGCAAACTTGTACTTCCAGGCAAAAAACTTACCTGATACTTTCCTCAGGTCATTTCGGTTAGGTTTTATAGTGACATCTGTGATAAATGTCGCCTAAACACTAGAAATTTAATGTTATTTACCTGTGTAAAGAAGGAACTAAATAGAACTACACATTTCTTGACCATATTTATTCTAAAATAACCTTCATAACAGATGTAAACAGTTTTAGCTGTGCCTAGCAGACAGCAATGCCTTTTATGTTGCATTGTATGTGAAATAGTTACATGTGAAATAGTTGTATTTTTCCTGTATAGTTTTTGTGAAATTATATATGTACAAAATCATTCACATCTGAATAAGTTGTCATTAAGTTATTCAAACCTGCGACCGTTTTCCAGGCACTGGAGCGAGCGACCTGAAGATTTGAAATTAAACCTAAAATTTCCAGAATTCTTTGCTGGTGACCGAAGGAAGAGACTGGAAGAAGTGCAAGATATCGTGCTGCGTTTGTACCATGACAACATTATTACGACTGAACGTTCTTTCTACAGATGCACCACAGGCTGTGACGACTGACGTTCTTTCTACAGATGCACCACAGGCTGTGACGACTGACGTTCTTTCTACAGATGCACCACAGGCTGTGACGACTGACGTTCTTTCTACTGATGCTCCACAGGTTGTGACGACTGACGTTCTTTCTACTGATGCTCCACAAATTTAAAGATTCACGACATCATATTATATATGACGTAGAATGTAGAATTCAGAAGATGAATGTATTTTAGATATTTAATTTTATATTTTAACTGGTTTTATACTGAAAATGTAAATTTTAAATCTTTCCTTTTCCACAAGCTAATTCATACTAAATATTAGTGAAGCGTTTTAATGTTTTGTAATAAATTGGCAACAATAAAAGATCATTTCTTAATTTTGTAACATGCGTGTTACCTTATTACTTGCAATACTATTTAATAGATTGAACAATGCTCTAAAGTCAAATTACGTATCATCTTCTAACATATCCGCAGATTTTTTATCAAGTTCTCTAGCAGAATTCAGTTTTTATTTAAAAGATAACTTTACTGATAAAGGAAACAAACCCGATTCTTATTTTAAGCCCCGAACGGTTAAGTTGCTGAACACGGGTAGTTCGGTGGAACGGAATACCTGCAAGGGCACTTTCGTAGTTTTTCCGGTGTTTAACTTGTATATGAGCCAATTCTTCTTTCATCCTTTCAGAGCCATCCACCAAGTCATCCCTCCTAGGCAGATAGCCGTCGACTCCTCCGCCATAATCACATAAACCAATCCTCATACTTAAAATTATTGGTCAGAAAGCGATGCTATGATTGAATTTTTATTTTCCCTAAGCAATGAAATGCTGTAAACTGGGAGAACTCTCTAATATGAGAATATTAGATCTCTAATACTAGAGAAACTCGAAAAAATAGTTTAGAGGAAAATTTTATGAACTGGAGTAGAGAAGAAAATATAGAGTTCAACAATGAAAAAATAAATGCCATTTTCTTTCCAAAGGGGTGGTAAGGCTACTAGAAAACCAAAGTTGAAATTTAATGGTATAAAGATTAATTTTAAAAGTCACTTTAAATATCTTGGAGTGATTATTGATGAAAAGCTAACTTTTATTGAACATTTTAAGGCGTTTCATAGAGAAATAGAGAATTTAAAAATGTTATAGAAGTACCTTTGATTCACAAACTTTAAAGTTAAAAAGCACTACCCTTAGATATTTATTTAAATGTTATTAGGCCAAAAATTTTACATGGCATTGGCATGTGGGGCTGCCGGGCAGGGGAATTGATTAGACTGAGAACTAAACTGGATTCATTGCAAAGGAGATGGCTGCATGCAATCATAAGAGCTTTCCGTACTGTTTTTACAGAAGTTGTTTGCTTACTTGCTGGCATTCCACCATTCCACATTCACTTTTTATAACTTCCAGTATGAAAACGTTTTACTCAGCTATCGTTTTAAAGATTTTAACATGTCAAAATGGTGATGTTTTGAATGGTAACGCCTTGACAGGGAAAGATTTTATTAATATACATCCAAAAGATTTCAAGGGTATACCGTACGATAACGATTATATGAATACTAGCATGATTGATATATACACTGATGGCTCCGGATATGCAGGTGGAACTGGTTGCGCTTTTGTTATTTTTTATTACGGAGTCGAAATCTATAATAAAAAAATACGATTAGAAGGAAATAAATCGGTGTATCAAGCTGAAGCTGTTGCAATTAGAGGCAATGCGGTGGAGTTATGAAAACTTAAAACAGTACTTTACAATGCATATTTATTCTAATGCTCTCTCGGCCCTACAAAGCTTGGCAAATCCGGAATCAAGCAATACTTCTTTTGGATATAAAAAAACATAACAAAATAAGAGAAAAATGGTATATATTTTCATTGGGTTAAGGCACATGTTGGTGTTATCGGGAATGAAAGGGCGGATATGCCAGCTAAAGAGGCTGCTGGGGAGAGGGTGATATTTATGTCGCTATTAATGATTCCAGAAGAATTACCTTGAGAAAAATGAAAGCAAATCTAATTGAGAAATGGGCTCGGGAATGGAATGGTTCAAATAAAAACAAGGGTTACTTGAGGATTTTGACCATAAAAAGAAAAATGGATCTATTTAATAATAGATACTATTCAAGTTATCCCGGATCATGGTAGATTCCCGGCTTATTTAAAACGTTTTAATCTCCAGGGCAATGATCAATGCTTGGCTTGTGGGAAGTACGGAATTGCAGCTCATTTTATGGAAGAATGTAAATTGACAGAGAGTGTGAGAACGAGATTTGGAAAAATAAATGAACAATGTAACTGAAAAGAAAATTCTTGAATAGCTATGCAACAGAAATTATGAGGATTGTGAATGAAAACAAGACTATCATAGGAATAGGACTTTAAATATTTTAATCTTTTATTTATTTTTCAATTATTTTTTTATTGTTTGTTTCTTTGTCTGCGTTAACCATGAGGCCGATTATTGTCGGCCAGGAGGGTTGCAGCATACTCGTAAACTAAACAGCTATGGATTAAATTATTGTTTTTACTGCTTATTTAAAATTATATACTTTATAGAAACGAGGATAGGTTTTTCAAAATACTGAAAAGAGAAATTATTTTAAATGAATGTGACTGAGATCATATTTGTTGTAAAGATTTTAGATAAAAGTGTATTTTTATTTTCTCAGACTACTTCATTAAATGCAAAATCATTCCTTGAAGTTATTGACTTCAAGGAATTCGTGAGACTGTGTATCGGAAATTCTAAAAATACGCTCAATTTAAAATTATTTTGCGATATTGCTCTTGAACTGAATTTTATGGTTTAAGTGCGAAGAATATGATCTTAATAAATAAAGGTAATGCACAAAATGATAAAAAAAGGGGGCCCCCTTTAGACGTAGTTTAAAATCTGAAACCTTTCAGATTTTCTTTTTTGTTTAATTTTTTATTTTATTTATTTATCTTTTAAATACAATATTTAGTTGTTTAAATTGTACATAAATTCTTAATCTAATTTATACTCAACACATTTTCCGCAAAGAATGGCAACTTTGTGAACAATTTTGTGTGCACAAATAGTAGTTCTTTTGCATGCAATTTATTAATGGCACAACCAGGGTTTAATTTCTCAACTAGCCGGATCCCTATGGAAGATCATCAGGAAAGAGGAACAAGAATAAATAAAATTATTAATAAAATATTAATCATTAAAAATTAAATAATTTAATGATTAAAGTAAATCATACAGCTAACTCTAATCTGAAGAAAATTCAAGAGTTTCAAAACTTCACGCCTCGCATCCTTACTAATGTTCACTGGTACGTCCGGAATGAAGTACTGTATTCTGATCTCAAAATTCGGTACTTGCGTATTAACGCAACCCCAGAAGAAGTTGCGCTGATGCAATCCAATAAAGAGCAATCCTGTTGTTCGCACATAGTTAATCTTTTGGATTCCTTTCTGCCTTGTTGTTTGCTGATTTTTGACGCCATTTTCTAGTGCTACCAAAATGCGTCTTTGGGATTTGCCAAATACAGAAGATGCAATTTTATTTTTCAAGAGCGAAACATTTTACCAAAAAAAAAAAACGAAGCCATCCTATTACTTCAACATTTTTATTAATTTTTAATACATCCTAAAACTTAATTCTTAACTGTTTTTACTATACGTTAGAAATCTTATTAAACACTTTAACGATATTTAAAGCTTTCATTCAGTCACTTAACATCTTTTATGAAGCTTTTAAAACGCGTATCCGCATATAAAGTGACGATTTTCCCAACTCACCTTTCAGGAAATGTCCGAATTCTTGGCAATTGTAGCACTAAATTGGTCTTTTTCTGGGATTGTACTTCTCATTATGAAATCGAAAATGTTATATAATTGGAATATAGCTTCGCCGTTGGTATTTCTATGCAATTTTATTAAGTAGATTGGGTAGCATTACTTTATTATCTTCAATTTTCTTTGGGAGTTGTTTAACTTTAAAGACGGGGAATAATCTGCGTTCGAGCTCATCGAAAATTTCTTGCTCTGAGACAGAATTAGGAATGTGTTTCAGGATAACTTTAATTGTAGACTCTGCATCCATCGGATAAGTGTGAAAAACTGATTTTTGTTCTTTTCAAAGCCTGCTATGGAGTTTTGGAGTTTCGAATTTGTTTAGACGTAGATTGCTCTGTTCTTTATTTCTGCCTCGAAATGCTCTGTACAACTGTACAGTACTTTGTGAAGCATTTTATTTAATGAAGTCCAATGGGCGGGGCGGGTTAGTTCAGTAATTACGATTGGTGTAATTTTCTTTTGCGGCGTTGGAATATCTGTGTCAATTTCTTTATCTTTTTCTGAGTTTAGAACGGTAAATCTTTTAGTTTGCTCAAATTCCTTATTGACTTTTTTGGTTATGGTCTTGTACGTTTCTTGGGATTAATCCATCCATTGTCGTCGAGTGACCCATCATTATTTTTTGACTGGGACTGTAAATTTTGTTTAGGTGATTCCTGCTTGGGAAAACTTTTTTCTAATCTGGTCTTCTATCGATTCTTCAAATACGAATGCTGGTTTAAGTTGTTCCTCGGAAGTATTGGGGTCTTTCTCATAACTAGTCCAAAGGGGCTTTGTCCCTGAGGGACTATTATTTTCCTTTTGCGATTTTGTGTTGAATCACTCTGAATGTCCGTTTTACTTTTCAAACTGTTGCCACCAAATATTATCGCCCTGTATTATAGTTGAAGAAATTAAATAATGAAGAATCTGCATAAAAGTATGTATGATTCTCGCGTTGTGATAAAACAGCGGTACATAGCCCCATCCAATTTTGAATGACGTAATCCTACTGTGAATATGCGCATCTGGAAGCCCAAATTTGAAATTTAGAATTTGGTTTATTATCGATTTCATATTTTGTAAAACTTTAACGAATTTTTGATTGACAAACTCAAGGATTTTCAAAGCGAGCAATGGCAATAGTTGTACGGAAAAACAACATTTTTATCTCCAGCGCGCGAGACTCTCTGTATCGGAAATTCTTTAAAGATATGCTCATTTTAAAACTATTTTGCGATTATTGCTGTTGAACTGAATTTTATGGTTTAAGTGCGACAAACGTGATATTTAATAAATAAGGTAACACAAAAATTGTATGAAAACGTCCCTTTGGACGTAATTTAAAATCTGAGACCTTTCAGATTTATTTTTTCTTTCTATAGTTTCAGTAACATTTTAAGCTGATTTTCTGGAGTCCATTCCAGAGTTTAGGCCTATGTTCAGCGCTGTTCTGAAGTATTAATCACGGTTTCATGTTGGCCGACAATGAGATTTGGAAAACATTTTTAAAATTTATCAAAAGTAACGTGCTGATTCATCTAGGTGCTTTTGATTCAT